TTTCCCTTTCCTTTTGGTTTGTATCCTTTGCGCTTTCCGTTGCCTTTGCCTTTGTACCCACCTTTGCCTTTTAATCCTTTTCCTTTTCCGTTGCACGTTCCTCTTCCTTTGTGTCCTGGTCCTTTCCATCCTTGCCTTCCTTTCCATGCTCCAATGTCCACGTCGGCTTGACCCTGGTGATCAGCCCTACCACTCGGCACGCAATCTCCAGGGCCTCATTCATCGTGTTGATGTGCCACTGCATTGGACACACAGTCTTCTGCTTTAGATCAAGAAGTCATTGTCCAATGATCTGCCAGACTCACTCAAGTCACTCTCAAGATGATCAGATCTCAGCTTGAAACCAATGATCTCACTCCGGAGGTTCGTGGCTCTCGCTCTTTCTGGCAGTGAGAAGAGTTGATTCTGGGCTCGGGTCTGTTGCACATCAAATACCTCACTCAGGTTCTCAGTCATCACAGTGTTAGATATCGCTTGAATTGCCATGACCAATCTTCCCATTTCTCAAGCTCCCCGTGGCACACGGAAGGTGGAAACAGTTTGATCTCCCCACCAATGCCTTTCACTCCGTAAACTCAAAACCTTCAACCTTTAAACCTCAAACGAAACTCCTGAACCCCAAAAGCCTTCAACCCTAAAGCCGGGCCCTCCTAAAGCCTGTTGTATGTGTAAGGATGAGGGGCTTATAAGCCTCAGAGCTTAATGTTTCAAGTTTTCGATCACCTGTAAATTTTCGAACCACTACACTACTCCTATCGCTCCACACCCGAACGTTAAGGGGTTAAACCCGAAACCAGCTGAACCCCTGCACGCCAAGCCCTAATCCCCTAGCACCTTGATGTGGGTTTCAAGGCTTACGGAGTACTTGTTTAAGGCTCAGGGTGCAAGGTTTTGGCGGTTGAATAAATGACAAATCGAACCCGGAACCTTAACTACACACCCAATCCGGAACCCCCTGATTCAAAGCACAATAAACAACGAAAGATCATTCGCTGAAGGCTTCCACAAGTGATTGCGGTCTCTGTCCGGAACTCGCCATGGGCAGCTGCGCCCTCAGCTTCAGCCGCCCAGTTTGCGTTGACCTGGCCCGCTCGTCCTCGAAACCAACGATGCCATGCCCCAGCCCAGCGCACTCAACGTAGCTGTTCAACCAAGCTGAAATCCTTCAACACGAAGCTGCCGTCCTGCTACATAGCCCACATCCTAAGATTGAGCGCCTACAAACTCTTCTTCGCGAAGGTTCCCACACCGCGAGGCCGGCGTAAGGGGAAAGCAGCAGCACCTCCCGCGAAGGCGGCTCTCATCTTCACGTACCTCTCGTGGCGTGCACGGTAACTTTCGAGCCTTCCGTGCTAAACCCCGAATCGTCCTCCTCGTCCAAGGTGTTGTTCATCTTGGATCTAGCGTGTCACATTCGCAGACATCAGTCTTGACATGCATCGTGTTCAAGTACGCATTGGGGGGAGTCATGTGTCCCTCAGCCCTCAACCATCTTCGCAACCTGGTAGTCTGAGGGTCCTCAAGATTGAATTCAACTTTTGCCTTGGACTTGTCTCTCCGGACCACTGTCAAGTTTTGAGAATTCTGCCATTGTCGGCCGTTTCGGGCGCAGGCCTGCCAATCTGCAGACTCCACGCCGGGGTTCACTCTTCTTCTTCACAGGCATCAGCTGGGCTTGTGTTTCCAAAGGGAACTCCACTCGGTCACGCCAATCCTTGGGGTCACCGGACCGGGTATTCTCCAATGTCAGGAAATTCTCACCCCCGACAGCGACAATCGATCCACCTTTGTACCATTCGTAGGTCACTGCTTCGCCAGTCAACCGAGATATTTGCACTGGCAACTTATTGCCATTTTGATTCTCAGAACGAGCACGACCTCCCGCGTTTCACGTGTGTACCGTGGGCAGGGGGCATTCTTCGCTCCTTGCGCCGCTGCAACCAAGGCGCCTATTTGGCAAAGATCGTCAATCGGGCTGTCACGCATGGCCGACACTCCATGCAACTCCAAGGCACCAAGCTCTTGTTTCACTCGCGACATTACCTCTGGCAAGCAAGTCGCTGCCAATCTCGCCGCGTCTGCCACGGCATGTGGAATCACAGTCGGCGTCATGTACACCAGTGTTTGTTGACGCACAAATGGCACAAACTTCCCAGTGGAGTCAATCAAAGCACAGCAGTCTTTCGACAGTACCGTCCAAAAACCCTAGGTACTAAAATAACATTTTTGCAACACTGACCAGCAGAAACGGGGTACCTGTGCACAATAAGATTGCACACTCAAGGCGTCCATTGCCACAGTCAAGCTGCACCATCTTCCGACCGTGCACACCCAATCTCTTTCCAGGCAAGCTACGCATTGAGGGCGCTCTCTCATTCAACACAACACCGGATAATCCGGAGCAAGCCATTCCGGACAAAACTTTGTGCGATCGCCACTGTCGAACAGTATCCAAGTCTTGTCAACCAATCCTTCTTGCAAGATAAACTCAACCAAGCGTGCGCGGACCAGTGTCTGGCAGATTCTGGGCTGGCATCAGTGGCACTCAAGCACTCAGCGCGCATACCAACAAGCATGCTCCAACAAACAAGTTAGTCATCAACCCGGATTTTGCGCCATGAAAAGTCTGCGCAAATCGGGGCGTACTCTGATCCTGAGGCTCGACAGTCACAGCCGAAACACTGGGCCGTGGATCATTCTTGGCGGTGTCCTGCGGGGCATTATAGGAGATCGTTCGCTCCGCATTCCACCAATCCTGAGTGTTCCAGGACCAATCCTGAGGCCAATATTTCCAGTCGTCATCGTACCACAAGTGAAGCAATCCACTCCTGACTCCAGTCGTGGTCATGCATGAGTCCGCTCACCTTGCTGATTCTCTTGCTGATTCTCATCCTCAGTCGACATTTTACCTTTTCTTTTCGGCGCTTGGGTCGTCACAAATAAACCACCCCTGTCACTCTCCTCTTCTTTCATTCCATTTCCTTTTCCTTTTCGTTTGTAACCTTTGCTCTTTCTTTTGCCTTTGCCTTTGTACATGCCTGTGCCTTTTGACCCTTTTCCTTTCCCTGTGGACATTCCTCTCCCTTCTCTTTGCTTTCCTTTCCATGCTCCAATATCCATGTCGGCTTGACCCTGGTGATCAGCCCTACCACTCGCCACAGTCACATGTGTGCGTGCTCTTTATGTAGCAGTCTCCAAGGCCTCATTGATCGTGTTGATGCGCCGATGCAATGGACACACAACCCTCTTCTTTAGACCAAGAAGTCAGTGTCCAATGATCTGCCAGTCGTTGTCTCATGTCTGTTCTTCAGGATCATGAGCTCACTCAAGCCACTTTTAAGATGATCATTTCTCAGCTTGAAACCAATGATCTTTCCAAAAATTCGTGGCTCTTGCTCTTTCCGGCAACGAGAAGCACAGCCAGAACAGCGACAATTGATTCTGGGTTCGGGTCTGTTGCGCATCAAACGCCTCACTGAAGTTACCAATGATTCAGTGATCAAAGCGTTCGATCCTTCAACCCTTCAACATCGTCCATGATTAGCATGACAACGGGTTTGTACAGTCCAACATATCGCTGACCAATCTTCCCATTTCTCAAGCTCCCCGTGGCACACGGAAGGTGGAAACAGTTCGATCTCTCCACCAATGCCTTTCACTCCGTAAACTCCGAAACTTCAACCCGTAAACCTCAAACCACGAAACTCCTGAACCCGAAGCCTTCAACCCTAAAGCCCAGGCCTCCAAAAGCCTGTTGTATGTGCAGGGATGAGGTGCTTAAGCCTGAGGTTTGAACGTTTCAAGTTTTCGATCACCTGTAAATTTTCGAACCACTAAACTCCTAAAACCCCACACCCTAACCTTAGAGGGTTAAACCTGAAACCAACTGAACCCCTGCACTCCACACCCTAGTCCCTGCACCTTGACCCCACGCTGTTGTGCGGGTTTCAGGGCTTACGGAGTACGTGTTCAAGGCTCAGGGTGCTAAGTTTGGCGATAACCGGAAACTTCAACCCCGCACCCAAGCCCGGACCCCTGATTCAAACCACAATAAATCTAACGAAATATCCGTTTGCTGAGCCCTAACCCCTCAGGCTAGGCTTCCATAGGTGATTGCGGCCTCTATAGCACATATCTCGTGCCATCCAAGTCAGGACTGGCTGGCGCAACTGCTCCTGCCAAAAGGGCTCGTCCTTGCACTCCAGCCATCCGAAGTCATCTGCGCCCTCAGCTTCAACCGCCCATTTTGTGTTGACCTGGCCCACTCGTCCTCGAAACCACCAGATGCCCCAGCGGAGCGCACTCAAGGAAGCTGTTCAACCAGGCTGCATGATGGGGGGGTCACGGGAAAATCTTCGACGCGAAGCTGCGGTCAAGCTACATAGCCCATGTCCTGAATTTGAGCGCCTTCAGACTCTTCTTCGCCGAGGTTCCCACGGCAAAGTTTGCATAAGAGCAGCAACTCCACTCTCTTCCTCATAGCCGACAGCTGCTCGGCCGTCGGTCGGCTCCTGTTCCCTCACATCGCGTTCACGTACCTCTCGTAGCCTGCATGGTAACCTTCGAGCCGTCCATGGTGCACTCCGAATCGTCCTCATAGTCCAGGGCGGGGTCTAACGATCTAGAGCTCGGGGTTGCCACCGACGGTGTCGTCGTCCGGTCCGGGCTCCATCGGAAAATCGTCCGTTGGCCCCACAAAGCGCAAACGTGCCGCAAAGGCCGCCCACACCGCTGCCTCCCCACGATACCGGCGAACTAGGTCCGGCGGCGCAGCCAGCCGAGCCGCTTTAGCGGAAGAAGGAAACATGCAGGCGCAGCACGAGATCAATTCGTGATGTTTCGCAGAAACCATATGCGAACATGGTTGTATTAATCATTTATGAACGTATACATATACGTATGATTATGTATGTAAATGTATACGGACACAGATACATTTTCAGATCTAAACCAAAGTGTTGAACAATTGATCAATATGCAAAGCAATCCTGCAGACTGTGTCACGCCGGCATCAAGTCGCAGACATCAGTCTTGACATGCATCGTGTTCAAGTACGCATTGAGGGGATTCATGTGTCCCTCAACCATCTTCGCAACCTGGCATCAGGCCACGTATGGTTTTGCGTCCTAGTAACAGGCACCATCACGATCCAGCCTGGTTGCTGTGATCTTCAATTCGCTCGTCAGTTTGTCCTGCAAAAATCTAAATCGATGCTCGAGTCCAACACAAGTATGCTGAGATCAAGGCTGCTGATCTCCAAGATGAGGCGCTGTACTTCTGATACATGCTCCTTCAAACAGACCGAAGCCGCAACATATACTCTCCCACTTCAATTCGCTCAAAACTCTCTCGCCTCCACACGATGGTACAGCTTGTCCATGCTCTGCTCGGTCAATCTGTGCAGGCTTTCTAGCTCCTGTCGCAAAACCGTCAACAGGAGCAATGACAATATCCTCAATCTGCTCGAGCAGCTGCGCTTGTTAGAAACGAAGAAAACTGATAGCACGACAAGCCTCTCCCGAATGGCCATGCTGAAAACCAAGACATGTTTCTGCTGCCCGTCGAGCCCGCTTTGCGGTACCCACGCTGCCAGCATCCCAGCCTCGCCCTTCTGTCGCACTGCTGACTCCACATCGTGGTGTTGGACCCGAGTTGCATGTAGCTCCTGCCTGGCCCCAGGAAGGCTCGCTGCACCCTCGTAAGTTCGCCAACGGCCCATCGTAGCTCTCTGAGCAACAGACACGGCTGTCTGCATCTGAGCGAGTGCGCCACCCAACGAATCTATGGCATGAGAGCTCTCCTGGCAATCCGCAGTCTTCGAAATTCTTGCGCCTATGGGGTGTTCCGTCCTTGAGAAGCTCCCGCCACGAAAGTATCCTTTCGTTCGATCGTTCGGCGACTCCGCGCAACTCCTCCACATGACATCCAGGCATTAGTCCAAAGTCCAGACACGACATCCCTATACTCAGCCGCACCTCAAGTGAAGCATGAACAGATTGGTGACGTTCGCTATCTTCGGCTTGCATTGCGCCCCATCTGTGGAAAGCCTCGCAGCATCTTGCAGCCTGTGCTCCTGTACTCTTGCAGACCCTCGACATGTGCGTTGCAACCGCGTAAGATGTCGGCAAGTTCCAAAGTGTCGAGCTCCTTCTCCAAACCTTGTCTCCGTCTGCAGGATATGGAGATATGGTACTACTGTCAAGCTGAAGTTCGCAACGGAAACTCACATGACATGCGTGGCTCCTTTTTTGAGCGAGATCTTGAGCATGTAGCATGGTACATCAGTTCGATTATCAGTCAAGCAAATTCACAAGGTGCGCCCGACCGCCATGGAGGTCAATGCTGAAAACGCAACAGCAAGCTCACCGCATTTTCCATGGTGAAGCTGTTGGCAAGCAAACCCAATACAACACTCTTCGAGAAAAACCCGCCGAAGGATGCAAGGAAACAAATCAGTCCAGGCTAGACCAAAGCCAAGGCTCACGGCATATCACACATCCAGTCGCCCAACCTACAGGAAAGCAACAACGCCATCCGTGCAGGTCGGGAGAGGAGACGAGAGGAGGCGTAGTCTTGGAGTCTTGGCGACACTAAAACATGACAGATCCACGCCAACAAGGTGCACAAAAAGAAGGCTGATGGTCGTTCAAGAAACTGCGCGCGGCTGCAGACAACTCCGGCTGGCGAGGAGCCACAGACTTACCCCTCGCAAGCTCGCGCAACAGTTTGACAGGAGCAACAGGCGCACAAACACCAAAGAGATCTCACCCGCACAGCCATGCACAGCCGCAGCGTGCAAGCCCACGAAGCCGCTGCAATTGCAAGGAGGCAAAGGCAAGATCCCGCTTGATCCCAACAGACAGATACAAAGGGCTTGGAGGAAGGCCGACGCAAAATTCCTTGAAACCGAGCGTCCCACACCTGCAACCTGATTTTGATGACTATTGATGCATTAATGCAAGCAGTGTTCCGACATTTGGATCTTGTGGCACATGCCGAGAGGACCAGAAAAGAGTGCGCAGGCCTTCGATGCACAATTCGGCACGCTGAATTCGGCGGCATCTGTGCTCCGAAGGTTGGCTGCCGGTGGGCGAACGTCCTTAAGGATTGCTTTGCTCCAAATTTGTGAAGACATGCGGTATGACAACGTGTGCTCCTCACCTAGCAATCAGCCTGATAGGAAGGCCCATCATGGCTTTTTCATGACACGAACACCAATCGGACCACAAAATTGTTAAGAGTTTGGGGTTCCAAAATGGGGAAGCAGGCAATAGCACACAGTTGTCCATAACTGCCGAGAGATTTGATCAAGGCTCGCACCAGAAGCCGAACACATCTTCTGCAGGTATGCCAAGAGACGGTGAACCTAAACCCGGAACTCAGAAGATAGGGCAGCAGCACTGCAGTCGTCGACGTGGTATATGTATTATAGTCGTTCTGCCTTGTGCGAAGCTGTGCCAAAAGATGCATTGGTTTGATTCCAATGTCGCTGACAGGATCATGGCTATGCCACGAGATGCAAGTTGACAGGCCCACGCAGTGGCAAGATTTGCAGCAACAGCAAGAACAAGAGTGCAGAAAAGCAGCACTAGCAGTCAACAACATTAACACGAGAGCATGCAGCCTGCAAAGCATGTCTGCTGAGATTAAGCAAGGCGACGATGCGAAGGCCTTCCTGATGCTTGGCTTGGTGCATGCTAGTATCAAGTGTCTGGCCTTCCGAGCAATGCATACATACACACATGTCTTCCTTGTCAAGCACTTCAGCTTCGATTCGGCAGTGGACATGAAGCAAATCCTGTTGAAAACACTGAGAGAACTTTAAGAGCCAGCTGCAAGAGAGAACTGGAGCGGACACGGAACTCAGTCGGCCGAAGCGGCGCCAGTCGACCAAGACAGTTGCCGAAGAAAGGCACACCCGGGACAGGATTCGAGTCTAAACGGATCTCAATGGCCGTGAGCACGACAGGACAGGACAGGAAGGAAACTTGCAGAGGCCACGGCCCAAAAAGTCTGGGGCCATGAAGGCTGCGAAAACAAGCTGGCCACGGACGCGTAACGTCCACAAAGCCATCGTCTGCAAGCAATGTGCATCGATACAAAAAGCCAACAGCACTAGAAGAACTCCAGTGAGCTGGAAGTCAGCCACCATCCCGCATGTGACGCTTTGGTGTGCAGAACGATGTTACTGCAAGAGCACATGATCACAAATCAAAAGAAACACCCAAAGACGGGGCACGAAGGGGCATACGAGGGACCGACTCGTCTTCATGCAGACCACGGTCTTCAGCGCTTCTGTGATTGCCGGTGACTGGCTACACCAGTTTGAAGCACTGGGCACGCAGCGCATTCCGCTGGTCTGCATGATGGCAACTCCTGAAATGTGAAGGCTTGGGCGTGTTGCCATCAAAACATTCCATCACGTCTGCGTGCTGTAAGCTTCTTACCCGGTGGAAGGTCTGCATCCTGCGAGTTGATGACCGTAATTTCACACCACGACGTCACTACGACGTCCGCTGTCAGCACCTCCTCGTGTGGAGCCTTGGGCTTTCCAGCACCTTCGAAGTATGCCAGATCTGGCTGCATGGACCTTGCACATGGGCGACCTTCCCAATCCTCTCGCTCAGGCAAATCCATCTCCACCCCAAAGGTCCGGCCTCAGCAAACGCTTCGTGAGACGTTAAATTCATGGGTAAAGACAATCTAGGCCTCAAGCCGAAATGCTTGAACATTACCGCAACACACCGTTCCATGCGCTGAAACCCACCAGCGCAGGTCATGGCTTGTTGCCTTCTGTTAGATTAGCCGGCAGTGAGAGAAACAATGAGACCCTTGCGATCCACAGAAACTGAGCCTTCCCAGCTCAGAGGCCGCGGTCATGTCCTGCATTATGGCTTCTGAACGTTCCTGCCTCGGGGCGCTCAGTGTCCAAAGTCTGCTCTCTGTCTTGGGCGTCAGCACCGGGTCGACCAAGTGATAGGCAAAGCCCCCAGGTTTCTCTCCAGTATTGCTAACTTCTCCTTCGAAGAGACGCAGGTGAGGTCAAATACATTGGCTGTTCTCACGGCAAGTTGCAACCACAGAGGCAATCCTGCTATCCCTTTTCGTGCAAAGTGCTGGCCTCGTACTTGCTCATGGACTCGCTCTGACTCTTGGCTCGCCTACATCAAATGTGATGAAAAGTTTGGAATACGCAGCTGCACCAAGCTCACGCAATTTTCAGCCCTGGGGCAACAACCCTTCATACACATCTGCCCACTTTTTGATGCCATTCCTCGGGATGCATCAAGACTGGTCCAGACCTACCGAGCTTGTTCTGGGCGACACATCTTGAGACCGCGGCATGTTGGCAGCCGTTGCTTGGAACGATTTGAACACCATGGGAGGGATGTTCTCCCAGCTGTCTTTGTCCAACCTCAGTCACTTTCCGCCTACCACGGAGTGCTTTGCAATAGCTTCAAACTCCGTCCCTGTGGACAAATGAGCTCACAACACAATCTTGGCGATGTTTAGTGCCGCCATGGCGCAAGGCGCTCTTGAACATACCAGTAGAGTCTTTGATCCCATGAAATGGTTTCTTTGAAGCTCCCACTTTGAAGCTTTAAAGCATTAACCACGTATATACTAGGTCGACGGCGTGCTCCAGCCAGTCTAGGCTTAGGCCCACAGCAAAAGCACCAACTCGCATGAATGCAAGGCTCTCGTGACATCGACATCTCGCCAGGATGGCACGGCCCTTTTCGCTTTCCAGCAATGCCACACTGCCAAAAGGAGGATCCTGGTCTGCACCTGCACACGTCCGGGATGCAGCAACTGGATACTGTATACTACTGCATGTTGAGAAGTGCCTTTGGTGAGCCAGGATCTCGAGACACGGGCCCTATGGACACCTGCAACGAACTTCCCCTAACAACATTCATGCCAGGACCACGGGAAACCGTGGCGGAAGCGCAGACATGCCGTCAGGTGCAGGTTCCTGCCCTTGGTCAGCACGTCGCATCCTCAGTCACAGCCCACCTCAGTGCCAACAAACCGGAGCACACCACTAGTCTGCAAGGCCAACTTGCACCAAGCACCTGCTCCTCGATTTCTTGTATGCGACGCTGCAAACCTAAGCTACAGCTAGGAACCGCTGGGAACCTACAGAGGCTCACCTTTTTAGCCTGCTCTTTTCGATTGCGAAGTCTTGAGTGGGTAGCCCAGGATCTGCTGTTGAAGCGATGTCTTCTCACCCTTCAATGTTGTGATCTCGGTAGAGAGCACAGCAACATGGAGGTGACAGGAAACGGGACAGAAGCGGCTCAGGGCCCCTCTTGCTGCTGTAGGCGAGCATTCTCTGCCTCTAACAGCCGTCACTCGATGTGTCCGGCGTGTTACCTGCCTGCCTTCTGTTGAGCGAAGTGTCGTTTCACCTGGCAGCAATCCAAGCACCATCACAGTTCTGCCAGGCTGGTCGGATGTGACAGGAAATCTGCACCTCATCTTGCAACCGCTGAACGTCGCCAACCATGGTCTTCTTAAGCTCCTGCGCCGCAGTTGTGGATGCAGCTCACACCGTTGCACTCTGGACTTCCTCAGTCCAGTCCACCGACCCCGAAGGTCTAAATACAGTTCACGGCATTCACGGTACGCGCACTCGTGGCATTATGAATCTATCTAGACAGTGTCAATGCAGCAACAGGGTCACACAGTTAGCAAAGCCAGATTGAACTAAATTGAGACCCACTAAAGGCCACCACCCCAAGGCGACTCTGCGGCCACTCTAAGACAACCACACGCAAGACCGCTTTAGAAGTAGCCGCGGGAAGCAAGTCTGGTTGCTTGCATTCAAATTCTTCCCAAAAACCATGACGGGTTGGGTTCTTGTTCAGTTTTTCCTTTCCGTGGGGGAGCGTTCATTTTCGAGACGTTGTCGTGGACCGGAAAAGCCTTTTAGCGAAGAGAAAGCGTCCACGGCATCGTTCCGCGGGAGGACTGGGAGGGCTGGGGAGCTCCAGGTGCCGAGCGTTTGCGGGAGGACTCGGCGAGAAAACTGGGACGGCTGGCGAGCTCCGGGTGCCGAGCGTTCGCGGGAGGCCGCAACCGTGGACGGGCACGGGTTCGGAGCTCTGTGTGAGGACGGGGAGGGGGAGCCCTGCGTGTGGAGCGTTCGCGGGAGGACGCGGCCGTGGACAAGGACGGGTGGGGGCTCTCCCTCATGCCTAAAGAACGGTCTGGCTTTGGGGTTCCCGGCTTGACCTTGTTTCATCTGCCATGTTTTTGACGATGCTTCTGAGCTGTATGCAAGGGTACGCAGGCCGCCTCAAAGAGTAGTTGTCTAATCCGAAGGATGTGTAGATCTTCGCCCAATGTGTGGTCAGCAACATGCTCAGTTAGCTTGCACCGGCGAGCTGATGTGGTAGACAACACAACATTACGCATCGAGCACCGTCGAGCACCGTGCACGCGACCGTTGCGAGGGCTTACGTTTCGCATCCGGAGCGAGACTTCAGGCCAGAACACTCAACACGATGCTCGGCACGCTGGCCACTTGCGGCGCAGAGACGGGTACAAACGACGGATTCTTCCGCTGAAACTTGCCGCAGAACACCTTATCGAGGCTCCGAGGCATCCAAGACCACGTGTCGGCAACCCGCAAGAAGCCACTTACCGAGCTGAGCACACTGCAAGTTTTGTTTCACAGCAGCAGCCATCGAGTGAAGGGTTATCGGCAGGTGAAGTCTTCATGTAACATCTTCACATTGCGCAGCATTTACCGTGCCCACAGCCCTGAAGAGCACCAGTTACGAAACCTCGGCATTGAGTAGTTTCATGGGCACCTGAAAGGTCGGCTGCATTCGTTGGCGTCGGTTTGAGCATCCTACCTAGTTAGTTGTGAGTTGCGCATGGCAGACCATCCAGTGTTCATCATGTCAAATCGTGGCAGAGGAGGTGACAAGTGAGCTCCTTGGGTGCGGGGGCACCACAAGGGTTACTTTCATCAGCCAGCGACCAAGCCTTCCAGTGTTTACACCGGTGCTGGGCAGCTAGTACAGGCGCCAACCTTCTTTCTCGCGGGAGGGATCTGCTTACACCGCAGCGGCCGCAGTGGGCAGACCGAGGCGGGAGGCAGACTCGATCAATCAGTTGAGCGGCCTCTGATGGGGCAGCAGGTTCAGTTGCTACAACAGCAAGTCCAACAACCGCAGGGCGACACTGCAGAGATTCGCAGCAAGAAGTTGGGCAAGAAGTTGCGCTGCTTCAGTCTCCGGACAAGATTCTGCATGTCATTGATTCGGGCTCGACGGATGTTTTCGAAAGCTTCGCAAAGGAAATGCAACATCTTTCAGCCCGAAGAATGTTCTGCCTTCGCGAGCATCAAAACCATTTCGTGCGGATATGTGCGGATGCATGACCCAGCATGTTCCGTTGGGAGCTGCCAAATGGGCTGGGTCGCAAAGACGTCGTTCACAATGTGAAGGCGGCGAAGCCCAGCCGAGAAGCGCTCCAGCAGACGCTAACCTTGAGGCGAAAAGCAAATCTGCAGAATGCGTGTGAAGGATGTGCTTTCGCGAAGGCGCGAGCTGGCACAAGCGAAGACAGGACGTCATACTCCAACTCGTGTTCAAGATGACGGAGTCCTCGCTTTCAAGATGATGCCCATTTTTGCCGTCAGCACACAACATCAAGTTTCAGGCAAGCCAAGCTCCAAGCACCCCAAAAAGGCGCAGCAGAGGAAGGGCTTCTTCGACCGCTCTTCCTCGGCGCACAAAGTAAAAGAGCAAGCTCGAAAGCTTCAGCGAAGAGCAGAGGAAGTTGCAAGGTGCGAAGTAAGGTCAAAGGCGAAAGCAAACGAAAGAAGAGAATACAGCACGAAGGAGGCGGTCTTCGTGGATTGATGCAGAGAAGACTGCCATTGACTGGAATCGGATTGTTGTAGTGCAAGCCCTGCATATGGGAGTCAAGCGCTGTTTATCAGAGACCCGCCTTCAAAGGTGCGCATAAGTTGGTGGCGAGAGGGAGTAAGTTCGCTCCTGCAGCCATGTGACAGCTAAGCCGTTAGCTGCTGCGCTGCAGCAGCTCAGGCGCAGCCGTCTGGCATCCAAAACTTTCTTGTACAGAAGAAAGATTGGGAGCCAGCTGGCGATCACGGAGCGGATGCTGTTCTACGGTCGTTGTGTGAGGAGCTGTGGATATTTATCCCGAAGAAGTGTTTCGGGAATTTGTCTCGGCTGGATCATCCAGCCGGAGGCTGGCTGAGGAAACATGCGAAAGTATTGATTCTTGTCTGTGGCAGAAGGACTTGGGGATGCTTTCGTGTTGCATGGTTGGGTTCAAGATCAAGTGCGGTGGCGGTTGTCCTAACTATGCACAGATTCAATCTGCAGAGTTCTTGCGAAAGATGAATGACTGCACCCTGCAAGCCGATACAATCGTGCAGCTGGTTTTGCTCATCAGGCTGCATCTCTCATAGGGAGAGCTAGTTAGCTAGTTCTTGCTTAGCAAGATCAATTTCAAGTTTGCCAATACCCCCATTCAGTGATCACATCCACAGATCATTTCACTGAGGGAATGCAGTGGCTCACTTTGGGCATTGTGATCCTGCACCCGTCAGTCAGTCACCAGAATTTGTTTGCAAAGTCAGGTGCACAGGTGCTGCACTCTCATCTTGCAGATTTTGAAGCTTTTCCTTGATGCTTTGGTTGTTCTGTGGAGGAGAGCGTTGATTTTCTCAAGACGGCATTTCCCACGGACGGTTGCTAGCATTCTTGCAGATTTGTACTGATGGCAGTTCAACCAGTTCAACTGTTTCCCGGAAGAACCTTGTTGTGCCCAGCGGCAGCTGTTGAGAAGATACATCGACGATCCGCTTTTGCATTGGGCGGGTGCCCCGAATGTTTCGTTACATCTTGCTGACAGTTGGCATAAATCTTTACGCTTTGACTTGGGCCGGAGTGCTACGGTCGGCTTCCTTTGCTGTCTGGCCTGCTTTGTGCCCAAAGCCCTGAAGAGTACTAGTTGTGAAACGTCGGCAATGGGTAGTTCCATGGGTCCGTCGTGAAAAGTCAGGGTTGGCGTCAGTTTGAGCGTCCTACCAAGTTAGGTGGCTAAATCGAGGCTCCAAGGCGTTGTGCCCAAACGACCTGTCGGTAACCCGCAAGAGATGTGCACACAGCAGTCACAATTCTGTGCTCACGGCAAGAACCATCCCTGTTCCAGATACCAGCATGGCAATATGTAAGCTGAACCGGAAGTGATCCATCCTCAAGTACGTGGTGGCACCGCCGCTGCCGCTCTGTCTTCAATCACAGAAACCGGTCCTGCAGCTGAGCCTGGTAGTGGTCTTCTATGCCCGTCTGCGGATATTCAAGCACGCAGGTGATCCAAGACTCCGAATTTCAGCACCTTGTCATTTCGAAGGCTCTCGATCTCCTGCCTTTGTGCAGCTAGCTCCTGCGGGAACGCACTCGAACTGACGCCAAGAACAATGCTTAGATTGCCAAGCCTCGTTCTGCATGGATATGAAATCCTCGAGGGAGGCCAACTTGCCTTTCAGCCTGGCGCCCATTGGCACCCCATAAACATGAGTCTTTCGGCCAGAAAGGGGACTTCAAACACCGGCAAGCTGGCCCTGTCGGCATCATCGCGACGTCCTGGCAGTGAAGTGCTTGTGCAAAGTCACCCAATGTCGATTTCCAAACGGCTTCATTGGCACTGGCTGGGTCTGCAGCCCCAGTACTGGCCATGGCAAAAATGGCACAAAAGCTATGCTAGAGATGCGCTTGTCGTCTCGAGCCTCGACCGCAAGTAGCCTATATATATATATATATATCTCTAATGAGCCTGTCTTCGTCACGACGTGAACTGTCTTGCGCTGCAGTCTGAGTCTTTTGTCCTCACACCGTTCTGGTGTCCGTGGTGTGAAGCTTTCCGGCACGCTCCTGTCAATGAAAGCAGCGCAGCCAAGCACGAAAAGGGGGCGAGACAGTGCGAGACGCTGAGAGGGCGACCAGCCGAATCCGTACACGATTCTTGGTTGAGGACCACAAATAGCTTCCTGCGAGCAGGTGGCGAATACCGGAGGGTTCAGGGCAGAGACTTGGGCAAGAAAGCCGGAAGCTCCGTCGAATGTAGTTCTCGGGAAGCGAAGAAGATCCATGCATCCCTTTGGTTGACAGGAACGGACCTGATGCACGAGGAAAGCGGGTGACTGCAGCTTGAGGTGGAAATTCTGAAACCTGTGAACGTATGCTAAGATGGAAGCTTCCCAGCAATGATTGGACGTCCAGACCTTGCCATACAAACTCGATTTGCCACCGGGTTCCCGACTCCTGGCCCTCGGTTCCGTTGCTGACCCGGATGCGAATACTGTCGGCGGTAGCACACCCCGCGTAGCTGCACGAATCTCGTATGTTGGATGTGCGTTGCCTAGCTCCAAGAAGCTTTGCAGATAATGTGGGTCAGCGCATACTCTTCAAACATGAGGGCTGGCACGTACAGTAACCCGCTCGACACGTGCAAGAACAGCCAAGAGCAAGCAAAGAAACTGAGACTCCATCGGCTCCATCTGCACGACAATGTTTGCGCGTAGATGCGCTATGCCGTCTCAGCTTGGCTGCTGCGCTTTCGTGCTGAGCCACTGACTGCAGTCAAGCTGCCTGTTTGGGCATGGTATCGATCACGGTGCTCGTGGATGAAACCTGGCTACCAATAAAACACTCAGTAACACATGAAAAAGGATCACTCAGGAACATGAAAAAAGGTCGAAAGGGGAGGCATTCCTGGGATCACCGACTGAGATCAAGAACAGCGTTTGAAGTCTTATTTGCCCTAGCCCTTGGCCGAGTGTCATGTTGTGGGGCCGATGTAGCTCCTGCATTTCCACGACGTTTCCTCGATGATTCGTCTACTCGCACAGATACAAAGAAAGCGAACCAGACGAGAAAGCCAACCGACGCAGGACGAAGAACGAACGGACCGAACAGGCAAACCAACACAGACCCCCAGCGGGCGGGCGGACACGGACAGGCAGGGTAAGAGACGTCTTGTGCCAGACGTGAGTCGACATGGCTCGTTTACCCTGCGGCCTCCAGGTTCGATGTAGGAGCACACCCGTCCAAGCGTTGGATCTAACTGCCTTGCCAGAGATGGATTGCCATCTGGGACAATGTCTGCCTCTGGGTATCTCTGGCTAAGAAGCCTTCCCGTTAGTCCTGCCACAGCATCTTCCAGGCGCTGCGTGAGTTCCTCTCCAGGTCTCGCGTGGACATCCACAGATTCAACCGAAGGCATGTACCACGGGGCTTCCTAGATGCGAGCGGCTGCACCGACCGTGGGAACAAAGGTGGGGTGGAGAGGGAGGCCGAACGAAGAGTGCATGCATCGGGCCAAGAACTCTTCAAGGGGCTTCGTCATGAAAAGGACGCGCAGCAATAGATAGTCAGAGAGAGGATGAGAGAGGTCAAGCAACTGCTGCCCACAGCCCACAGAAGAATCAAGAGGGAGAATGCACATGCGTGATATAGAGGCTTCAAGTCAAAGAGACTGGAATGGCTTCGCAGAAGCTTGCGCTGTTCAGCGGATGCCATGGCACGAGAGATGGAATTGGAAACCTGTCGGCTTGGGATTTGTCGAAGCCCGGTCCAAATTAACGAAGCAAGTTCTGGCTGTGTCGAACACACCCTCGAGAACAAAGCACGACAAGATTGTGTGAACTCATGCATCCACTTGAGGCATGACATAGCATAACTGCTCGTATCGAGAGAAGAAGCAGAGCATTGAACCGCTTATTAGAATGGTCGTTCCAAATCAAGAATTCAACTAAACTCCCAACGTTGCATGTGTCGCTATCCCTGCGTCAAAACGACGCCTCTCTGTGTGCAAGTCCTCTAAGAAAGAGTCCACCCCATCAGTCGCATCCAGTCGCCGAAAAAAGCGATGTGGTCCTGACAACACGACTCGAATCACCGGAGAATGGCTTCCGTGCAGATCAGTGCTGAAGGAACCTGCTGGATTTGGCAGGAGGAGACCCTGCCTCAACACGCTGAGTGATGCAGTGCTTGCAGTGTGCTTTCTGCGGTTGTTGCTCAAGCTGGACGTCGCGGCCTTTTCTGTCTCACAGCAGATTCAAGAAGATTGAGACGCTCTTCCTGTCAACAGCTTATCAATACGCCGGACGGTGGGCAGCAGTCTTGGGCTTCCTGATCAGCTGACGTAGAGGACTAGGAGAATCCGAGAAAACGCTACCGTTCTCTTTCGCAGCATCTACGTTGCCAACAGCCGAACCCAGATCACGAGAAACGGCATGCGCGCCTCACTGATGATGCCCCGCAGTAGAAGCCACGGCCCTGATGCTTCCTGCCTAGGATGTGAAAGCAATCACCATGCGAGCGTGGTTGCGAATCTCGCGTTCCAAGAAGAGCCAGGCCTTTGCAATGAGGAAGGCACAACAACGCCCCTGCATGCAAGAGTACCATGAGGTTTCAGCAGCTGCCACGGAACTACAAATCACCTGAATTGCCACTTTGGCCGTTTCGGCCACGAGGTTCTTCGGCGGCTGAGAGAAAGAGCATGTGAACAGGGAGTCGAGTGGCAGACGCATCTTCCTAAAGCTTCCAGAGGTTGAGACAACAGAACACCACTGCACGACTGCCGGACCACCATCAGTGCTGTCCTTGCTCTGGAAGCGATGACATGGAGAGATCAGCGAGTCACGATCTGATTTTATAGCTGATTTCCTATGTCCCTCTACACAAACAGCCCATGCACAACAGAAAAACATCAAGTAAAATTGGTGACTGCGACTGGCATCTGCTCAAATCTGCTTAAGAACAACGGCTGCAGGGCAACATTTTGCAGATGCTGATTGGAGGACCTACTGGCTCCAAGAGAGTAAAGCGGCTTCAAGTCTGCATCCCTTTCCATCGAAAGATCAGTCTAGCTTCGAGCACAGCATACTGCGCCCGGTCACTAGCAGAGCCACCACGATGTCGGTGTCCTCTCGCGCCATGAACGTCTTCCTCGAGCTCGTGCAGGAGCGCACGAAGCAGCACCAGCTGTCCACGGTGTACGCGAGGTGGCAGCCACTCAGTTCTGCTGCATCAAGAATTCGCAGGTTGGCTCTGCAACTTCATCTTTTGCATGTGTGCGTTCAGAGCCGTTCTGGCGACCTGTCAGCATGAGCTCTAGAACCATCCAGACGCATGCATCCTGCGGGCTGATTTAACAGGGAGCAATGCAAAGCACCTCCACAGCTTGTGCATCCAGGGCGGGCAAGGCGTTGACGAAAAGGCGTGCTGCACCACCTTGGAAGGAAACTTGTGGCAGAAGTGAGAATGTGCAATTCGGAGAACACCTCGTTCCAGCCCACTCTGCTTCAAGCTTCGCCGGAGGGTGGCGTTGCGCCCTTCGACCTGGATCAACTCGAGGTCTTGAATCGTTCAGTCTGCAAGCTGCCACAGCCCGCCACTTTAAAACAGTGTTGAGGCATGGCAACGACTCGGCCCTACCAAAGCGCTACCCTCAACCAGACTTCGTCAAAGCATGGACATTGCATAATGCCCTTGTCCTTCTGCAGCGCCTGTGTACAGTGATAAGAAAGACTACAACGGTGTGCGAGGAGGCACAGTGGAAAAGGATGGAAAAGGGGGCATCGCGTTCGAGACTCTCAGACTGACTCTGTCTGGTGGCCGGCCCTTGCCTTCTCGCTTAGCAAGATTGTCTACCTGTTGCTCTGCACATCTGGGCATCCTCTTCACCCTCGGGCAGTATGCAGCAGCTTTCCCCTGGCTAGTTTGCAGTGAAGCCGCCTGTCTTGACATTCTACCACATGAGGTGAAAACTAGAACCACAAACTTGAAACATCTTGAAATATGTTTCCATGACCCCCCCGCCTCTTTCGCAGCAGCTTCACAACGCGCCTCCGACTCACGGAAAAACATGAGTGCTTCCGCATAAGCCCCCTTCCTTTCGCCTAGAAGGTTCGCGATAGAAGTTCAACAATGAATGGCCAGTCTCTTCAGAAGTCTTTCGCTGGTGCGGTCCTCCGCCCTGGCTGGACGAAGAAGTAAAGCATGCAGGCAAGCATGCTTACTTTGCCTTTGGTATCCTCTGATTTTATTTGGCCTTGTTGCCATTTACGAATACAGCCATAATCAATACCGACCCTCCTTCCTCGGGGAAACACCGAACACCAACACACGAGGAGTCCGGCCTGCTCTCGTGCAAGCTCTGCTAGCTCCCGCTCTGCCCTGGAAAGAGCAACAACCTGCAAAGAGCCAGTGCGACCGTCAGAGCGCAAAACCTCAGTGAGAAACTCAAGCCTCACTGCGAACTTCACTCGGCACTTCAGCCGCCTCCGACGCCATCGCTGCTAGCTGCTAGCTCGTGCGTCTACCAGCAAGTATCACAAGCCACCTTTCTGGAGCTCGTCGATTCCGTGGCCTCACCAAAACCAAACAGCGATGCGTTGTGATCATCATGCTTGAAGGCAGCTGGTTGTCTCAAACCCTCCAAATCCTTGGTTGGCAACATGATGCAACGTGTCACGAACAACCGCTCTGCACCTCTTCTCGCTTATTTCTCTGTTCTTGTATCTCTGCCTGGCAGAAGGCACGAGTCTGTTGCTTGCCAGCCTTCCCGCTCTGTCACGCTTTCCTCCAGGTTCATGACTTCCCTCTTCCAGAACTCAACCTTCCAGTGCCAAGCAACATGCCAGAGGTCGTCAGATGACTAGACTCGACTCTGACTTGACTAGACATCTGACGGATTCCGCGGAGCCTACGACTGCAAAGCAGATTCAATAGAATAGAAGGGTCGTGCACTCACGGAGGGCACCTCCTCCTGCCAGCATTCTCGCATCTCGCCAAGTTCGAGCTCCGCCCGGGCCATCCTGTAGCAGACATGAGTCATTAGCTATAGAACAAACAAGAAAACGCTTTTTTCCTACCCTTGCCTGAGTTCCCTGGAGAGCTTGATGTTTTCCTCCAGCACCTGGTTCAGGTTGACTCAGCGCATCACATGCCTTTGCACTGGCACACGGACCTTCCGGGGTACATCACAGATCTGAGGCCTGCCAGTGATTCCGACCGGCAGCATGAAGAAGCCGCCCGTCAACCTTCTACAAGGTTCGGTTTGAACACTGAACTGTCACGAAAAAAGTAAAAGCGCATGCATGCGCATGCGGTGGAAGCGTGTCGTAGCCTGAGATCGCAGTTCAGTGAGGGTCGGAAAGGCTGGGCGGACGCTTGTCTCGCCGTGCCTCAGCTCGCAGGTGCACTGAGCAACATACAGCCGCTGCAGCCATGTTCCACGGGCTGAGCATGAAGCGGGGAAGGCACCGTTTCTTGGACAGCCTCTGAGATCGTATCTTCTTCCTCTTGCACAGTCTCAATTACGTTTCAAGCCTCAAGCAGTTTGAACAGCCTGGCAGGTGCCCCACACGTGGCTGTCACTTGGCAGTCCTTCTTGGGGCTCTCGGTCTCAAGGTCTCCGTTCTGCGCACTCTCTCGATCTGCCGTCTGGCTCAAGAACCCTTGCTGGCCCAGCTGGCCTTGGCCTTTGACGCAAGCTTTGGCACCCAGCCTAGCTCTGCGCAGTGCAGGAAGTGAGAACCCTGTGCATGCCAACCATTCCGAGCTCTCCAGACTTGTGACACAGGGAACCCCAGAAGTAAACAGAGTCGCACAAGGCAGCGCCCCAAAGCTCTCACCCAAATCCACGTAATGCCAGCAGAAGAACTGCTCGGCATGAAAGGGTCCTCCAGCATGCCGGCAGAAAGAGTGCCAGCAAGTGTGTGATTGCTCCGATGTCAAAGCAAGACTTCCCATTGACCAGCACTGCATTCTCTTGTCTGACTTTGCTTGTGCTAGTCCTTGCTTCCACCTCCTTCTGGAACATGGGTTTCCGCTGGGCGGGCGGACCTGCAGTCTGTCTGCAGACATCGGAGCGTATCCCGACACATTCGTCCGAGGCAGATGCATTACCTATTCTACTGCATCTTGTGTCAATTGACTTGGTCCGACAGCTGCGCAAAGATAAGCCGCACGAGACACAGTATGTTCACCATCACCGGACTGCGGTCTTAATCCATGCAGCATTGCAATGTTGCCTTTCTCCCCTGGTGCAGCCCTCGGAGAAGCCCGGGATTCCGGGCACACAGTCCAGCCCGGCACTCATCGGTACGACTTCTGGAAGCGAGCACGTGCAGAGCGCCCTGCCAAGACTTGAACTTGTAAGTCGAAGACGCATTGTACTGACTGCGCTTGTTGCCTCCAAACTTCTTGGGTTCGCAGCGGCGTGGGTCTGCAACGATCAAGGAGCGATCGTAAGCCATCAGTATGTCCTCATCAAAAAACGACAAGAACAGAATGTCGAACTCTCAGGCTCAGATAAGCTCAGGGTTCTGTTTCTGCCCTCGTCCTTGATTTCTTTCTTGGATGCCTCATCGATGTACTTCTGGTAGTATGCGACGATGCCCTTTGCCACAGCCTGGAAAAAACAATAAGCACGTCGAAGACAATGCCTGAGTCTCCTCTCTGGCCTGACGGAGGGCGTAGATTTGGCCTGTGAAACCGCCGCCTTTGACTCTCAATCGGATATCCACCTTCATCGGAGCTCGCATAAAAAGAATGCTTGTTCGAACTGTCACAAACCTAGATGTGCTACTGGCCTTGCTGCAACGATCTTTACCCAAGAGCAGCAAAGGTTCGTACACCTGTCAGCTAAAGACTTCGCAATGGTCCATCTGTGGTCAGGACACGTGCCTTGACTCGCAGAATGTCAGGCTTCACTGTGTGCAACGGGCAGCCATTGAGCCGAACCTGTACATTTCGGCCATGTTCCAACGTCTACCTCCGACCTGGGGCCCTGGGGCCCTGGGGCCTGGCCTGACCACTGCCCGTGCGAACCAATGCAACGGCCACGGCAGTCTTCTTGCGGCCGAAGCACTGTAGAGCACGAAGAATGATTCAACCCTTGTCGCAACATTCAACGAAACATCCTTGCGGCCTGGACCTTCTCTTGCTTTCCAGTCGGAGCTTGAGCGGCCTCACAGGATATGATCGCGCGCGATCACAAGAGCGACAAAGTGATCACCACACGGTGCCTCCTCCATTGTTCACGGGCTGTAAAGGGTAATATGGAGCCGCTATGGCAACAGTGTTTGCGGCAACGTTCATGCGTTTGCAAAAGGCTGCATCGAAATGTTTGTTATGCAAACTTCGATGCCTCAAGATTTTCCTACCGGGCAGCACACATAACGAACACTTCTCTCTCGTCTGATGCCATGCGAACCAGAGGCAAAAAGGACAGAATGCATCCTCTAAAACGAGTATTTCATACGCAAACTGTGCTCGGTTTCTGGGGCTCAGGATTTGCTCGGGTGGACGCACTGTCAACCACAACAACTGCACGGAGCCTTGAAGCCCAAATCCGGAACTTCATATAAAAAGCCTTCTAAACCCCTTAAATATGATATACGTTCAAGATTCAAGCCCTTTGAAACCGCGTGCGGAGCGAGTATTCGGAGTATGCTTACGGCCTGCAAACTTTGCTCCTCCGCCTGGCTGGACTTGATTTTTGGCCAAAAGAACAAGGCTCGCGGACAAGTTTTCAGTTTTCGCTTTTGAATGCAAGCTTCGGCTGAGATGGCATCAAGCAACCAACACGAGCAAAATACATGCAAGAGAAACGCTTCCGGTTGTTGCTGGCTTCGTATTTGCCGACAGCGCCTGCTTCGACCCATGTCGGACCCCCGGCGGTTGCTCTCGAATCACCACTTTGCCGCAAACGACATGATCAACAAGCCACGCGAAGACTTACTTCCAAAAGCCACGCTGTTTCCAAAAATCCACGCCGGAGATTTCATGCATACAAGCCAACAAAAGTAATAGTAACGGCATCTTGCCTGTTTTCTCCTACCTTTCCAGCTCAAACACAAGGTTTAAGCCTGTCCCCGAAATAAATCGGGATTTGTGTTCCTGTCTGCTGCTTTATCCTGCCTTTCCGGCTCATCCTGACATCCAGCCAGGAACCACTCTCCAGAGACTTAGCAAAGCATTGTTGCTCACCTTGCACAGGCCAAGCAGCTCTGGCTCATTGTAGCAGACCTTTAGCTGCAGGGATGCAATACTTCAGAATTCTTGGTTCAAAGGTCTCCGACTGGTTCAACTAGGAGGCGCAATCGAACACTTTTCAAGTTTAGCCTTTGGATCCTTAGTGTGATAAGTCTTGAGAAAATTAACTTTCCCCATCGGGTTGACTGGTCTGGACCGACGAAGCTGGCTAGAATCGCTAAAAGACGTCACCTAAGCCCAAGTACCTCCAAGCCGTGTGGCAAGAAGCCATAGGAAACGGATCAGTGTACAATTTGGTTTTTGGTGTGGTCAGACCTCGTCGGGCTGCCGCACTCAGGTCCTGGCAAGAAACGAAGCACGTCTGAGAAAACAATTAACTCCACAATAGTGAAAACAGTGGCTGCGACGTAAAGGCTTTGCCAGTCGTTCAGCCGAAGTGTTCCGGCTTAGCATCTTTTCGAAAAGCGGGACTCTGAGAACATGCTTTTGCATGGGGCCATTGCGCATCTGCGAGACCAAACGCCAATGGCCGCCGCATTGTAGCTCCGCTTGCATAATGGAAGAGCATTCCTCAGAAGACCCCCGCTTTCCGACAAAGTGGATAGCGTAGGGCCGCATTGAAATATTGTAGGCCGTACCACAAAATCGCCACATGTGTGGAGATGCGAGAAGCTCCACGCACAAGACAGGATGCTGTGGCACTGACATCTGTATGCGCAATGGTGCGAGCGAAACCGGCTCTTTTCATGGTCATTGAATATGAATAATATTTCATGAATTAGATTATTACGAGCTATTTCGTGTAGCACAAGAATATGGAATATTTATGTAAATTCTTAAATCTTATTAAATAAATATGGTAACGAAATACTTTAAACACAAAAAAAATAATCGACTATCAAATAAAATCAATTCTTCACAGTTGATCTTCAAGACAAAATTCAATCTAAAAATGCTTTAGAGTATCTGGAAAAAATTGAAAATGATGAACGGTATCCGTTCTCTAATCTAGTTCGAACGAAAAACACGGGATTGCATTGCAGAGCGTTCTGTCAGCAAACCCCTTTTTTACCGCAGAGATTGCTAAGGATGCGATGCAGTGCGAGGCATTGCTCGCCGTAGGAGAAAAAGGCATGCGATGCCGAGCTATCCCCCAGGGCGTGGAGGGTGGGTGAAAAAAGATTTATTGCATGCGATGCAATGCGCGTGGAACGCTAGTTGTGAGAACTTGTGCCGAAAAGCAGTGCGAGGCATTAGTTACATTCGACACAAGTTAGAAAACACAGTTGATTCAAAAATACAAACTCACAAGTAGCGAATCTTTTTCTCTTCCTGGATACTCGCATTTTGGTGATGGTGTTATTGGTTCGTCTTATGCACTAAGAAAACAAAAAAGCTAAGAGATACGAACCTTTATGAATCAAATAGACTTCTTGTACCGAGTAGTTATAGTAGTTACGATATTTATTTTGATGATTTGATGGGATATTTGTATGATAATAAAAAAGAACGATACGATATAATATATTCAAATGATGATTTTGGCTTTAAACGTTCAGAATCGAAATGTAAAAAATACGTCTATGTAATGAAAAGCTTAAAACGCATCAATTTGTAGATAAATTTGTTTACAATAGTTTAAATGACGGTAATTTTGATATTTTCTGGGATCCTTCAAAGAAGTGGGAATATTTAATTCAACCAGCATTTCTCCTTATTGCAAGTTATTTCATTAAACTAAACGTAAAAGGATGGATCATAATACCTGGTGATGTATCGTATGAAAGTCGTATGACATCAATAACTTATGATAATTATGAGATTTATGAAATACGACTTAGCCGGGGATTCGCTGTTGGTTAATTGAAAAATGAAAAGGAAAATGAATAAAATGGTTTAAAGGAAAGTTTGAAAGAATGTATGAAAATTAAAAAGTCAAGACAAAAATAAAATTATGATATTATTTATCAAAGGTTCATTGATTGAAAATCAGGATGTAGATCAAAAAATATAGAAAGGTTATAAAAGATATAATATATGATGAATATTGATTTGATGTTTCTTATTATTTTTGAACATCAATGGATAAAATAATCTGTCAAAAAATCCAACAAAACCAATATTAGCATATTATGAATGGATTAAATACTGTTTTCGAAGGTTTATCAAATAGTTTACCATCCAGTTTTTTTGATGGTTCATGATGAAATTCTGGAAATTTCAGCCATGAACTGATTAAAATTTATTTCAATCCATGTCTTGCCCATTGTTTTAATACTTTGAACCAAATTTTCTCAAAAACAAGCATTGTTCATCCTGTCGAGATTTCTTTCTAGTTCAAATCTAATAAGCTTCACATTTTTGAAAGTGAAAGCTTCTCCAACAAATCGGAATAATTTAACTGCAAAAAAATTGAAGAAAATTCCGAAATTTGGTTATTTCAATTAATTCTCTAGATTCTGATCCATCAGTATCCTTCTCTCCAATATAAAGTTGATGAAAGACTCTGTAGGAATATCCAGAGGGTCCATTAGATTTGGAGCAGCAGTATTTCCATGTCCAAATGGAGCAGCATAGCATACATCGTCGATTCAGGATTTCCAGTTGTGAAACAATTTCTGATTTTGACAACTCAGTATGAGAATAAAACAAGGAAAACAATATGAAGAAGTTAAACAACATTGAAGAGTCAAAAATAGAATGATCGAACAAATACCAAATAATATCATGGTTACAACATGTGTCAAATAAAAATATAGTCATAAAATACTATTTCGTTTTTCTCGATCTTTACGTTTGCGGAGAAGATTAAAGATGGATGGCTGGTAGCTGGAGTGTGCAAAAAGAACTTTTCCGCATAATCTAATGAATTTGAAGGACACAGCAATCTTAACAGATTCTGGCCAATCTTGGTTGGTAGCAGTTGTTTAAGGTGATGGCAATTACTTCTTGCAGTGTGCCAGATTGGTTTTAAGTTTTCGTTTTGCTTAATTAACTTGGTTGGGTTAGGATTTTCTCTGCACCAAGGCTTGTCCTCGACTCTGTGTCGGTGACCATCAAGTTCTTGAAGCTTATCCAACAAGACGCAAAAAACTTGAACACTTTGGTTTTGGTTGCCTGGATCTTGATCGCTGCTTGCTGGCTTTAGTGTTTTTACCAACTTGACACAAGCTCTTTCTGCGCAGTAGAACAAAAACAATTTGTTTGTGTGCTGGACTTTTGATTCCACGCAACTCAAACTGGTACTATACTTCACAAGTTTCTAAAAGGGGCGTATCGGCCCCTTCGCACCTTCTTACCCTTCAAACCTCCCTTCCGACTATTCAGGCTTAGTGGACCCAGCCCCGCGTTTCAGCAATACCAAACCAAATTTCAAGCAAGTTAGCACTTGCAAAGCTGCCAGCTTTCGGCGTTTAGAGATCGTCTAAAATCAGAGTTTAGTGTCTTCCACTCAACCATTTAAAGCAAAGATTTAAAGCCTTTAAGTTTCTTCGAACCGCCTTTATGCCCCTTCAAAGCCCTTTCAAGTCTTTTGTCTTCTGGAAGCTCTCTTCAAGCTTCTTTAGAGAGAGAGAGAGAGAGAGAGAGAGAGAGAGAGAGAGAGAGAGAGAGAGAGAGAGAGAGAGAGAGAGAGAGAGAGAGAGAGAGAGAGAGAGAGAGAGAGAAATCGACTCCTGGCAAGGAGACGGGCACCCGCGTTGTCTCCGCCCCGAAGGGTTAAGACGCAAACGGGGCATGGGGCTCCGCAAGCGTCATGGCCCCATGCGAAGCAGAGCAAACGTAGCAGCGGCAGCAGCAGGAAGACAATGCAAGAGCGAAGGATCCAATGCAGGATGCGATTCGATACAGAGCCTCTTCAGCCTCAGCGCACTGTGCGGTCGTTTTCCCTTTCGGAGAGAAGTGGCGCTCAAGACTGGGCACTATCAAATTGCCCTCGGAATGCGGAGAGAGCCAGATGCCTCTGATAGATTCATTCCGTGCTTGTGACTGCGTCACACGGCTGCAGGCGAAAACCCATAGCAAATGACCATCACCGACCTTCATGAAACAAGATTGCTTGGGTCCGTGCCAGAGCCATGATTGTTGCCGCAGCTGCTGCACAGGTCTCTATGTGTGAGAGGCATCCGTTTCAACGGAGGTGGATTCCAATCGGCTCAATCAAAACCCCGTTAGACCCGCAGAAACCTTCGCACCCTCAGAAGGTTCAACTGTCGGAAATGCCGCGAAGGGCACATGCTCGTGTGTCAGCAACTTTTCCTGTACTCCCAAATTAATCCGCTACTGCCACCACACTCTTCAATAGCAACCTGCTGCTCTGGAACTCCCATGTGAAAGTGCACACGGGTGCCGGACGACCGGACTTGAGACCTGCGTAGCCTCGCTTCTAGAGCAGAAAGGAGAGGGCCTAGAAACAACAGACAAACCCAACCCCGAGAAAGTCAGCGAAGGCGAAAACAAACGCATGGACCCCGTTGGCTGTGCGAGGCTAGCCTGTCCGGCGGTATTGCAATTACAGCGCCACTCAGTGTACGTCCAGCAACGATGCTCGAGTCCGGAGCCTGCAGCTGGTTGCGAAATCCTTATGCTTATGAGTCGGCAATTCAGGACGACACGCCGCTAGCAGCTTCAGCACAGCGGTCTGGTACTGTCGGAGATGTATAACAATCGGGATTCCACTGACGTGCTTTTCTAGAGTAGTGTCTGCCTGACCAGTCAGAGGCCTCTCCACCAACCATTAGGAAGGCGTTCCTTCCACCATGCCGCGGCTCACATGTGTGGGACTTCTTTGTTGCAAGCCCCAATAAGAGACTAGAAACAACTCGACATCTACAGGGCCCATAAAGCGCAGTAAGATGGCTTCTGTCAAACGGGGCGCCACCGCAAGTCAATAAGTCTTTATCAAGCGAAATGAAATGGCTGCGGGAAGCGGGCGGACCAGCTTTCATCTCTGGCATCATGTCCAAAGCTTGGGCATCCGAGTGCCGGAGGAAAGCTTAAGGCAACTGCTCCGCCAGCTGTGCAAAAGATCAAGCGCATGTCTAAGGAGCACTTCAGTTTTGGTAAAACAGCGCATGTCACATGTCTCTGCATAGTGGGGCTTCCCCTCGTGTTGAGCCACAGAACGAGTTGTGTTGCGTCACTCTCTACCGATGTCGATGCCGTTCACGAGGTCGTCAGCCCATGTCGTCGTTCGTCGTCGAATGAACAGTGAAAAAGGCCATTGTGCAGGTCGTCGACGACGTCGTCTGTGTTGCAGGCGTGTTCTTGATAGTAGTGCATTGCAGTGAAGATCATGCGGTGGGGCGTCGTCTAAAGTGCAGTACGCCGAGGGCGACTTGAGTATCTGCCTCCCCCCTTCGAGTCCAGTGGCGAAGTCCATCCTGTAAAAGTTCTGCTACGTTGTCCACTTCAGCGAGAGCCCGTTCTGCGCGAGAAAGGAGGTCGGGCAAGGCAGTCCAGTACCTGGGGAGTGCACGCAGGCACCAACGCCTAACCCTCTGCCGATCACCACTCCTTGCAAAGAAAGTTTCTGCTCCAGCCCCCGCATGTCGCTGTTGGCTCAAATGCATCAAGTGGGTCAGGAGATTTCCTGGTGGCACAAGCAATCTGGCCGGGCGCCGCGGCATCGCTTGGAGGGCCGTGCGCCAAACGCCCCAACAATCAGGACAGAGGGAAATCGCATCCAGTGCACCCCCATGGTAACATCGGTTAGCCCCACGATTCCAAGCACACTGGCCCATGAGGTGGACGGTGCAGCCGCAGTTGCGGCACTGCGTTCCACCGCGGCTGCAGCGGCAGTAAGGGCAAGTACGGAGTGGACCAACGGCGGGGAGTTGGGCACCTCCGCACGTCCAACAGCATGAAATGGAATCCGGCAGATCGGGGCGACAGGTACAAGGGGTGCGTAGCGCAACTTGCATATCCTCAAAGCAGGGCCATTCATTCGACCAAGTTGGCTGACCGTGCTGTGTAATCGGGATAAGGTGGGAGGCGGCACAATCCTGGATACTGTGCGGGGAGAGGCGGCACACTGGTAATTCGGCCTTGATGCGAGCGACTAGAACCGATAAACCAGGGGCTAACCAACGCAGTTCGCGGGCCGTGGTGAGGCCGCGCGGTGTCGCAAACCATGCGTCCAACACAGATGGCGGCCTGTCATCACCTGCAGCTGGGACCTGGACAGGCGCCACAACTGGCATACGCACCTGCTCCATGATCAGCTGTATTTGTTTCCAGGCGTTAATGCGGCGGGCATATTCCACCCGAATTCGCCGCAAGCCCAGCAGGAGAAGGGATACACACTGCACAGCAGGTCGGATGCGGGCGTGCCGGTGTTGAAGCTGCTCTGCTTCCCGTGTTGTCTGCTCCGTGTGTCGCCACACAGCGTACTCCTCCAAGTCCTCTGATGGCTCCCGTTCCGTGCGAAGTGGTGGGAGGCGGCATAGGGTCCGGCCCAATACAGATGGGAGAACTGCCCGGTGTCCCATATCCCACCCGCGTTCATGAGCCACCGCTGTCGCGCTATGACCACCAACATCTTGGCTCAGCAAGGCCTCACGGCCCGGAAGCGTTACCAACCATCGCCAGGAAGCTAGAACAGGCCATTCGCGAGCATCCTGAGCTGAGGGATCTGGGATAAGGCAAGCTCGGCCTTGCTGTCGGCATTCCTGCCTCCAAGCCGTGGCACTACGCAAAAGCTGCTCGCGCTCCACTAGTTGCCCCAATAAGGTTTCCATGTCGTTGCGCAAAAGGTTGGACAGGTAGCGCATCCCAGAACAGGTCATAACCGTGTGGCGAGGAGTGCCGACACCTGAACAGCACAACGGGCATGTCCGCATGGAGTCAAGCTGATTGGCCTCTGCCCAATGCGCTGCCAACCGAGCTAATTCAGTGTCTGATTTGAGGCTTTCGGTCCAGGAGCCTCCCACGACACGCACACATCGGTAGAGGAATTTGGACAGGTCCACGCCATCGTCTGGGTCTGTCGGTAACAGCCAATGTTTCCAGGGTGTTGGTACCGGTACCTGTGTAAACAACCTCATGTCAAGTGTAGGGCCAAAGATGTCCTGCGACTGCGTTGCCACATGGCCTTGTACCCTGCGCTGTGCCCACTGGGCCGATGCTTGAGTACGAAGTTGTGTGCGGACTACCTTGCGAATGGGATTTCCAATGGCGCGACCGTCCATGACAAGAAAAGCAAAGAACCCACCAGTAGGGTACCTCACATCGGGTGGGCGCATTTGGCTGCGTCCGAGCCCGCAGCCTTCATCTTGCTGTGCATTGCCTCGGGTGATAACAGGGTGTGGGATGTCACTATGTTCTTGATGCGATTTGATGTCCACTGCCACCAGTCCCGCGGTACAATGAGTAGTGTTGCACATCCACTTGTTTTGCTGTTTGCAATTCCAGATCGCTGGGAGGGCTTCCTGCTGGAGTCTCCAGGAGGGTTTTACTGTAGATTCTTGCCATGAGCAGCGCAAGTCCGCCAGAATGCGTTGCAACCGGCCTACCAGAAAATGACTTGTGAGGCCGAGGAGTGCAGGGGGGCGCTGAAGCTTGACTTGTTGAAGTATGTGACAGAGCGAGCTGCGGTCTACAACCAAAAGATTCCAACCCTCAGGTCGTCTCCAACGAAGTGCAGCAATCATAGCGGCCATTTCAGCCTCATGTACTCCAACAGCTTCGTATCCAAGCCTGAGGGGAAGACGATCCGTGCAGGCGTGACTGGATTCCCAATAGTCCCCCACACCACCAAAGGATCGAGCTTGACTGCTGAATGTACAATTTCCTGCATGGAGCATCCCACCATCACTGTACATACCGAAATCCAAACCATGGAATGGGACATCGACCCGTGAGTCCAGGTAGTCACTACACGAGTCCACCTTGTTAGCCCAAGGGTTGGCCCAGGCGTCAGTTGCCCAGTCCTCTTTTGATTCCGCGTTTGGATATGGTCTGTGGAATAGGCCGCATTCTACCTCCCAGTCCGAGTTGGAAGCAGTGGTGGCGGCATGCATGGCCGCTGCACAATCCGAGGGTGAAAGTCCAGATGAGCGCTCCAGGTGTTGCTACCAAACGTGTTCAAACGCCCATTCTCGTGTGTCCACGGCTTGTCGGAGAGAATCCAGGGCCCGACGAAGTGAGTTGGCGAATCGGCCAACACGGCAGTATTGGGCTCCCTGCTGATGGGCCCACTCATCTGCAGGACCAACGAACTGGGCGTGTGGGGCGCCTAGGCGCGTTTTGAGGTGGTCCAAGAGGCGGGAGAGGAGGCGTTCAGTGGACACCGACAGATAGATTCCGTACCCTGCGAGAAAGACCATTGCTCTACAAACGATACCTTGATGGGCGGAAGCTGTGTCAGGGTCCAGTTGCATGGCCATACGTAGTTCGGCTCTGGCAAGATCCGAGGAAGCCGTTTTACCATTTAAAAGCAGAAGCAAATCTGAGCCAACTGCTGCCACCATGGCCTCGACCATGGATGGCAACTGTACGCCTCCTATTTCCCGGGGTGCCAGGAGGCTGACTCTTTCCACCGAACATCGGACCTGAAGGCGCTTAAGGAGCAGGAGCTGCAAATCGGCCTCTTGTAAGTGCAGGCTTGTCGGGGAAGGGATGCCTACCAGGGGTGCGTAGGAGACGTAGCCTCGGCCAATGAGTTGGAAGGCCGCAGCAATCTCGTCCCACTCGCAGTTCCTGAATGCCATCTTTTGCCGCAGCTGACTGAGTTTGTCGAGGAGGTCCTGTGCCGCAATGCTGTGTTTGTCGCTGATGGTACCTCGTTTGCCCAATAGTTTTTCGATAGAGTCGGCGTGGGAACGAGGGAGGACGGTGGTGACCGTGCCCCTTCCAAATCTCGTAGCCTGTGGCACGTATGCCATCGTGAGTAATACCGTGGTTTGCCGCCCATTCAGTACCAAGCACCGAATTCCAATCCGATGCATAGGCCGAAAATTTTGGCCATGCATAACCTACAGCGGCAAGTACGCTACCCTTACCCAGTTCTTGCAGCAGTTGCGGCAGTTGTCGGATCCCTCCTGCATAATGTTCGGCATCGTCAGCATATGCAGTGACAGCCACGCCGATTCCGTGGTCCGTGACGAACCTGGCTGTGCTTAGCTCCCGCATGCGCAGAATAGGCTCTTGAGCAGGTTTGGACAGCTCCGGAGAGGATATTGTTCCCTGCGGCACCCCGCGTTGATAGTCCACGTCGCGCGTAAGTCCCCAGCGAGTGTCTACGGCTACAGTGATTCCTTGAAAGGCTTCGGTGTAGAAGCGGCGTACCATGTCTGGTATGCCTCGGGCCAGTTGTATGGCATCCACTTCCTCGTACAAGATGGAGTTGAAGTACTTCTCGTAGTCAGATGGGACTCGGGCGAACGGCGCACCCGTTCGGACCGCGATTTCGCACAAAATGCAGTCAGTGTATAATACTTCCGTGGTGGCGGCGTGTTTCTTCTCATAGGCAAGATTAGTGTTGCTGTAAACCGCTCCAAGCTCCAAAAGGCTTCTGGATGTGGCCATTCTCTGCGTGACGGGACCTTCGATGAGTTTGAAGGCCTCTTCCATCATACTGAGCGGCCGAAATCCGCCCGAGCTTTTGGGGAGGTTATATAATCTGGATGGCCTTTTTGTTGCTTGGTGCAATAAGTGCCGTCTCACGTTGCGTGTCTGTCAACTCCCAGAACAGCTCCTGACACCAGGTAGGGAGGAGGGGCAGGAAGGCCAACTTAAAACCCGTCCGGCCAGGGCGTGACCATCTCATCCTCCGAATCCAGTGCTCGCGCTGTTCCGGTTCCAGGCGGAGTAGGGCGGAGTGATCTGCGAAGGAGTGTGGATGCAAAGCAATCCCATATGGTAAAACATTAATGTCAGCCATGTGGCGGAATCGATCCATAGTCCACTCGCTTGCTGGCACTCTTCCAAAGCTAAGTACCTGCAACACTGGCCCCGAACACGGTCCGGGGCGATGTGCCTGCCATCCCATGAATGTGCCCCCCCACGACAAAACCCATCCTGGAAATGAAACGCTATTGGCGGACAGGTACCGCACTGCATGCGGATGCCATCGTATGATACACCACGGTCCGGGTTCCAGGATTGCTTGAGGCAGGGTCTCTTCGTCGCCCGCATGCGGCGTGTTGGCGAGGTGCTCGAAATTCAAGCCTCCACGTTTATTGCCAAGTTTGTCAGTCCATGCAAGGAATGCGGGGTGCTGCCAGGGGATGGGCGGAGCATGGAAAAGACGCTCCCACTCCTGCGCAGCCCCCTCCAGTGCATCCTGTGCATTGGCAGGGGGACGGCGGTGTCCCCCTTCATCCACTACCCATTCAGGGGAGTATTTGTGGGTCATACCTAGAGGGGGGCGAAGCATTCGAGCCCAAGACTTGAAGTCCAATCTGCGGAGTGCTGCTTTCCTAGAACTGGCCATGTCCCGAGCTGCGTGTCGTTGGCATTTGGTCTGATAGTTCCTGGCAGTGGAGATCCAAGAGTTAACCAGTGAAGCATTCTCCAATCTTGCTCGGCGGTTGACGGGTACACATGTCCACTCCAGTGGTATAAGAAGGTTTCCAGCAAGGTCGGGCTCGGCTGCGTGTGTCGTGGGCTCCCAATATTGGATGGCTTGTGCTGACACGCCTGTCAGCGACCCGGCCCAGTCCTGCGGGTGTGTGCGGAAGCCATCCCAATCCACGATAGAGGGTCTGTCCTCTGCATGCCCCGCGCGCGACAAAAGTTTGCTGGCATACCGAGCACTTTTCTCCCATAGCCTCTTTACCACTGCGTGCTGATCATCAATCTGCAACCTTACCTGGTCGTCATCAGCAGCATGCACCAACAATGTTTTAAGACTGCGGAGTTGATGGATACATTCCTCCCATGAGGCTTTGGTCCTGGATAGCGCGTGGTCTTGATTGGCAGACAGACGTGGGAGGCTTGCGGCTACCGACGAGTGGAATAAAGAGGTGGCCCTTTCAATGGCCTCTCTTAAGTCGCGCCCCCGACGGTCTGCAACGTTCTATAGGTTTAGTTGTGCTTGCTAGCGGTATGCCGGAGGCTTTAAGTCCAAACTCAAAGGCCCTGAAAGACGTAGTATTTTCCAGGAGTGCCGATTTGTCTCACATAAGTCGAGTGAGACAACAAACGAAACAACCAGGTTGATGGGTGGCACATTTCGCCCCCCCATCCAAACTGTCGTTACAGCAGTAGCCAAGACGAGAGAACCCGAAGTACAGGATGACCAATCTGCGAATGCAATTGCGGAATAAGTTCGCAGTACTGCTGTGGGACCAGCGCGAGCACTTGCACTTGCGATGCATGAGAACCTACTGGTCGCAACGAGGAACCTCCTTTGGCAGAGGACATAAACGACCCGATTCAAAAGGATACGGATATAAGCCCAAACTAAATGCATTCACCATTGCGGAGGTTCTTGAAAGAGGTGACACGGTGTATTGCAGCAAAAAGCGTAAGATAAACAAGAAAAGTGATAATTGCAAGTAGAAAACACTTCAGCTGCTGATACTACTGGGACTGTGAGACGTGCCTGCCCCGAAGGCCCAGTTTTCTTGTTACGAGGTCTTTGTCGAGTTTTTTGGCCAGTGCCTTGTGAAACAGCTTGTGCGGTCCTAGAACGCGCCAGTCGTGAATCCGCATAAGGGCGGGAGGGTGAGGAATTCGAAAAAACCGCCAGCAAGCACAACTAATACTGTGAGCCAAAATGTTCGCACACATAAACTATAAAACAGATGTGAACAAGTACACAAATCGTTCTATAGGTTTAGTTGTGCTTGCTAGCGGTATGCCGGAGGCTTTAAGTCCAAACTCAAAGGCCCTGAAAGACGTAGTATTTTCCAGGAGTGCCGATTTGTCTCACATAAGTCGAGTGAGACAACAAACGAAACAACCAGGTTGATGGGTGGCACATTTCGCCCAATAACAACTACCCAGCAACCTCGCTCTCGAAAAGCCCAAAACTATGTGAGGTTGTTCGGCACTCCTGGGGCTCGCACGGTCCATGCCAGCGAAGCATCGCTGGGCGAAATAGAAATGGCCGGCCGAGGCAGCCAAAGATCACTCAGGCGAAGCCTGATGCGATCAACGTCGAGGCAGTCTGGGGGAATGTCGTGTTCACCCGGTCTTGACAGTGCATCTGCTTTGGTGTTTTTCTCCCCAGGTATGTGAGACACATCCAAAGTGGTACGATACACTGCTGCAAGCAGAGAGATGCGTTCAAGGAAATATGCAAGTGGGCGTGAAGTTGTAAATGATGCATTCACACCTGCCTCCGCACCACTGTTGTCTGAGACCGTCCGAAGCTTGATTCTGGAGCAAGGTATCAAGGTTGAAGATGCGATAATCAGCGCCCCTTGAGCGAGTGCTTCATAGCACGCAATGTCAAGCTGCATATCTTGCTGAATGGGAACCTGAAGCTCGCGGAACTCCTCATATGTGAATTCTTCCCTAGCCACCTTTGGCCTAATGCAGGATGTGACACGAACCCACCAATGCGAGCCCGTTGACCTTGGGCACTGGCGTCCGCTTGTGCTTCCACTGGAAACACTGCTGCCGGTCGCATGCTGACCATGGGGCTCATGTGAAGTAACCACAACTCATAAAGCCCCAGAATGCGCACTGACTCCGCACTCAGGCGGCGCTTGTTGCTGCATTGGCTGGATATGCGCATCCAGATACGTCTGTCTGTGATGCGAACACTGGCAAGATCTGAAAGGCTTTGCAGTTTTTGGTGCCGCACCGATAGCAGTGTAGAGTGAAGCGGAATGGCGGTACCTGGCGGGGTGGATTTGAATTTGAGATCCTCTGTAAGGTGGTTTCGAAGTTGGTGCCATACTTCTGGAGATATCGAGTAGTTCGTCGCCGCTGGACTGAACAGGTCGTGATAAAATGTGTGAAGGAGTGCTTTCATGGAAGGGAACAAGTGGCAAGCCCAAAGGGCCAGGCCAACGAAGCGTTCAAGATCCTTTTTGGAAAGTTTTGGTTTTCGCTGAAGATCCTGAACCATCCCCAACAACTTGAGACGTTTTTGCTCCTGCAACAAGACTACCCCCGCTGTATAATCAAAGTCCCAACCTATCCACTGGACCCGACTATGCAGTTGAAGTTTACGCCAAGATAATGGAAGGCCAATGACCTGAAAGAACAGGCAAATCATAGCCCCTGTCATTGGCATGATCGCTGCCAGTTGCGAGAACAGGTAATCGTCCACAAATAAGTGACCTGTGTGGCTGATGAAGATAAGCACATGCAAAATGCGAAGGATGCACGATCCAAGTCTGCCCCACCAGTGCTGGGCGAAGACTGCACCAAAAGGTGCCACGCGGTAGAAGTACAAAGCATCATCCCATGAGAACCCTAGCAAACCATGCTCGGCTGGTGTGACGAAAACCCTTTTGTGGGCTGATTTAACGTCCAAAGATATGGCTGATTGCCGAGCGTTACATTCGCGAAGTGGATAGCTGTTGACAACATCTCTGGCAGACGGCATGTGCTGAGTCTCTGGGACATCACAATTTGCGTTCGTGCCGCAGACTGAATTGTCAAGTACCAATCGCTCTGCACGCCCTGGAGCGCGAACGACTGAAAGCTTTCCTATTGCAAGTGCTGGCCACTTGGCCTTGGCTTCGGCTAACGACCCTTGGAACTTGTAGCAAAAACCCTGATTGATTTCTTCATCCAGGAGCGCTTGTGTGACTGAGGGCTCGACCGATGCCGAGCGCCAGTTCTGCATGTGGATCGACAACGGGACATCTTCAACGTTAGACTTTTGGTTTGGCCAAAAGCAGTGAGAAGGCGGGATATCGTTGTTGTAGCCTGTAGGGACCCCGTTCTTTAAACTTGGGAACAAGCTGATGTCTGGATCACCGCATATGCTCGAAAGTTTCTCCAAGATGTGGAGAGCCAAGGGCTGGTGTTCTCGAATGTGCCACATTTGTTCATTATTTTGCAACCCCAAGCTCGCAAGAAAACCCTGCCTAACTTCAGAAACCTCAGACTGTGTAAATAATGGATCAGGGCTGGGCCATTCTGCTTTTGCAAGAAGACGCTTGTCCCCTTGCAGGCGAGCGACACAACTGAGCAGGTATGTGCGAAGCGGTTTAAGCTTGTCGGAACACAACGGGCTGCTCCAGTCACCACAAGAGTGACGCCCTGCCCCATCATGGAGAACCCAGGGCTCTGCTTGAATATCCTTCACCGGAATCAGTGCTGAGGCTGAGGCTATGGTGTGATCGCCCGAATCACCCGAGAGTAGGGGTCTGATGTGCAATGCGAAGGTTTCCGCCAAGGGTTGCGGATATTTGGCTGTGGATCTGCTCCGAAAGACGCCTGAGACAGAGCGACCTTGCATCACTGGGTGAGCATCTCGCCCGTGCGAGCAAGTTTGGCCCATGAGACCGAGTGTTTTGAAGCTACTGGCAAAAAGCCATGTCTTCTGCCAGTTTGCCCCAAAAGCACATGCAGCACACAGAACTAGCACGACAGAACCTGCATGAAGCCAGCTTTGCATACACGGTTCTTCCCACGACATAGCTCCTGAAGGTTGCTCCACATGGGAGTGGCCCCCTGCAGCGTGCACAACTTTTGCGCACTGACATGCTCGAGAGAGCATCTCGTGACTTTCCTGAACGCGGGATTGGGCTTCTGCGGGGATGTCTGGAAGCCCTTCAAGAAATTGCGGTGTGCGGATGGGGTATGGTTTATCACCCCGAAGTTTCAAACGGCTATACCCCGAACAGCAAGGAGAGGAGGCGCAATACCCCACTATACCGGAACCGCAGATAAACAGAAGTTGCTCAAAGAAGTCGTTGTTCAAGATATCCATGGTTGGGTCCAAAAGAATGTCAATGGACAGCACTGGTAAGCTAAGAGCAGCGACTGCTAGCGACAGAGGCTTTTCTAGACCCGAACAAAGATCCAAGAAAATCCTTGATCCCATCTGCTGTGGAATGGGAATGGCGGTGGCTCGAGGAACTTGCTTAGGGGGGTCCGGGACTACCTTCAAGCTATGATTAGTAAATCCGAAAGGCGAGGCTTTGCCCCAGTTGATTGGGGAACCTGCGATTGGAGACGGTCGATGCTCAATGCATGCTGGAGGCGTGACTGCTGTCGAATGCGCCTGCGTGGCAGAGGGTTCGGGCTGTGCGGGTTTCGGTGGGGCTAAGCCCGAATGCATGACAGTGGGGAAACCCAGTTGTGGGAGCCCTGAATGGGAAACCGAAGGAAGGGTAAAACAGGTGAGAACCCATCTATCCCCCAGCCATGGCTCTGTGCAGTGCCATAGATTACAGGGGAATTTTTTGGGGGTATGGCGAGTGCAAGTGTACGACCCCAGGAGGGTTTTGCCAAGTGCAGGGATGAATTGTTCGACTGAACCCTCGGGGTCCTCTATCCAAAGACGCCCTCCTGAAAAATTTCCGACGCTCACCGAAAGATTGAGGGAATTTTTCAAGTTAGCCGAGTCCCTGTGTGGGGTTGTTAAGACGTTCCTGCTGACGCACAAGGAGTTCCACGTTTCACCTGGAAAACATTGCTGAAGAAATTGGTTAAGTTCTTTACAGAGTCCTGGCAAGGCTGTTGTGACGCTAGATAAAGTGTTCCTATGGCTAACCTGAACTCCGAAATTCCAATAACCTGAATCCGATCGAGCAGTTGAGGCTGCTGCACGGTCTGGGGCCGCACGTTCCGGCCATACTGCTGCGATCAGTGCTGCTGCAAGAGAATCGAAATCATGAATGCATGGTGCACCCGCTGATGCGACAAAAACGCCGTCCGGCTGCACGCCGGAGATCGATGCCTCTGAGCCTGCGGACCTGAATCCCGACACCTCTCGAGTGCCTGGGGAAACTCCCATCTTGGGAGGTACAGACGATCCCAAACTCGGGATTTCAGACGCAAGAGTGAAACCCGAAGAGCCTTGCACCTGCGGGCCTGAGAAGAAAGCTGTGCCGCTTGCCTGAGGGCCTGACTGCTGCATTCGAAGTCTCTTTGGCGGCTGGGAATGCAAATTAAGTGACGCTGTCTCGTTCTGCGAAGACACTGACATGTGATCCGAAGAATATTGTGGTGATACGAGTGAGGGGAGAGGGTCCGAAGAAATCACCCCTGGCATGCCTACGGGATTGGGGCTAAGTCAGTGGGGAGTACTCTCGTGCTGCAGCGCCGTATGCGCCTTGCTTCCACAAGCTTGCCCATTGGATTTCGGGAAGGCACAAGCGTGCACGAATGGGCACGCGTTTCCACGATTGCAACGGCTCAATTGCCAATTCACACACAATGGTTTGGACTCAGACCCCACCATGATCGACTTCACAAAGTTGATATTGGAGCCGCCTTTAGCCTCCTTGTTCTTGCCTTTGTCCTTCCCTTTGCCTTTGACAGACGCCTGCGATGCGTAGCCTTTGGCATAGGACTCCACAAGCATCTTACCCAAGCCCTTGACAGCTTTGCCCTTGCCTTCCCAGCCTTTGGGGACGGGAGGAGGACGCGCTCGAGCTTGAAGCAGGCTGGCCATCTCGCCCCGCACCTCGGTGAACTCGTAGAGGACATCATCCATCGTCCATCCTTTGTCGGTGACCAGGGTGATCATGCCCTGCCACAAGCGGCAATCTGCCTGTTGTGCTTCTAAAACTGATGGTGGCCGAAGGCCTGATGAAGCATCGAATTTCTGAGTCAGAAGAGAAATGAATTTTGTTGTATATCCTTTTAGCCTGGCGAGATGGGCGGTTCCCACCATTGCCAATGCCACGTCATGCACATTCATAAGCTTCTGAATAGCATTCACACCCATGGAATGATCTTGGATTTCCAGAGCTGGAGGTTCGTCCAATAACATCCCCGAGAGCCCGATAGCCTCAAGCCGAGGTTGCTTGTTGGGCCGGGACATCATTATCTCAGAAGCTCGCTCTTCCGTCATTCGATATTTCCAGGGGATCCATCGCCAATCCTTCTTGTTCTGCTGGTGCGATGCTAAGCTCAGCAATCTGGTTGACGGCTGAGTGGAGTAGTTGATGATCTCCGACGGATAGTTTACCAGATACTTCCGTTTCATTTCAGAAATTGAAGATGCTGATATCTTTGGGGCAAAAGATTCCACCCATGATCCTTCCCGAGACTCTGGCACAGGAGGTGATGCAGAGGCTGTAGAACCCGAGGGTTCTGACTCCTGCAGTTTACTCCAAACCGATCGAATAGTGGCCTTCTGAAGAACTGTCAGAGCTTTCTCCGGAAAGATTTCGCCCAACACAGAATCTAAATCCGCCAATCTGCTGACAGCATGCTTGAAAGTGGATGACTTCCACCCCGTTGCCACTGCCAGATCGGCAAGCTCGTCAGAGAGGCCTTCGGACTTCAAGAGCTCAGCCAGTTCCATAGCAAAAGGCTATTGTGGACCCTAGCGACCCTGAAGCAAGTAGATTATAGAAGCTACCAAAAAGAACCGCCTGAAAGGTTGGGAATTTCTGAAGGATCCACAGAAAACCCAATCATTTGAGCCGCTGCTAAGACCAAAAGAAAAAAGGAACTTCTCCGGTGCCTGGCTGGACAAGTGAACTGACAGAGTGCATGCACATGACGCTGAGACTGCATGAATGACCCTTGAAATGTGAGCCTGACCACTTTTTTGCTTTGATTGCTCACGAGTCCGAGATCCCACAACGACCGAGGATTATGCAGCATGCACGTCTTTTGCACAATGTGATCTCGGGAGAATACTGCTCGCGCCAGTTAATATTGTCTGCATACAAGCGAACGCCACAAGCAGGTCGCAGGCCCTTACCACGATAGGTGGTCGCAGAGGCTCCTGAGGAAGGAACCATAGCATGGTGCACGCCTGTGCACGATGCGAGCACCAATTCTTCAGGATCCCCTAAGTCGGGGAGCTTGGGTGCTTCGTCGCCGCTGCTGTCCAATGATTCTTCATCGGATGATTGCACATCCCACAAGGGTGCTGGGTCAACCGGCTTAGGTAACTCCGACGTTTTCTCGAACTCAGGAAGATGCAACCCTTCCTTCATAACGAACTGTGGAAAGTGCTCGAAAGAAGTGGTTTCTGCTGCCTTGCTGAACGACTCAATCTGCACTGGTGGCTCCTCCAACGGATGCTGAGAGCCTCTGTGGAGCGGGGTAAGGAACCTGGCTCCGCCGATTATGGCGAATCTCAGCTTCTGCTGACCTCGCAGCGCCGGAATAATGTCTTCACGCGAATAAAGCTGGGATGAGCTAAGCCTATGATGCCCCTGGCATTGCTTTTCGATTGGCTGAACCTCAGGACGTTGACCCATCCAGGAAAGGAGGGTGGTTTTCAGGGAGTGCACTGTGTAATTAAGTTGGACTTCGTGAGGGACGGGGGTCTTATGTTTTTTCCACGGGAGTGAAATTGCATACCTAAGGTGCCTAAGTGCAGCCGCGTATCCCATGGCTTGCAAAGGGTAAACAGGGACCCCTGTAGCTCCAATCGATAAAAGGAGACTCGAAGGCAAGGGATGGCCCGGGTGAAGGCTGCAATGCATGCACGCCACCTTGTCCAAAGTCCGAAGAAATCTATGCACCCATGTGAAAGATCCATGACTAAGCAGTCCTTGGCAAATGACCCCAAATGGTTGTCCTTGGGATGTTGTTTTTGTTTGATAGCACGAGCCCCTCAGTGTAGAGCCGTCATAGGACAGGGATCGCCAGTGAACTCTTTGTCCGTCCATAAACCTAATGGAACCCCAAATCAGGATTAAGAACCCCCCAAGGATGAGGACCTCGGCATCCGTAGCTTCTTGCATCAGCAAGCGTCGCTCAAACTGTGTGACGACATAAAGAGACAAGGGCACCGCCTCTTTACGTTCACGGGGAATCTTGGATTTCAGGAAACTGCCAATCAAGGGTGAGTACGCGACATCAAAGCATGCGACTTCAAAAATACGTTTAACCCACCGGATGGCCTTGATTGCGGTCGCTGAGTGTGTTCCCGACTCCGGGTCACTGCTGCGCGCTAAGCTTAAGACGACAAGAGCATCAGCAAGCTGGACCGATGTCAATGTTTCCAAAGCAAATCCCAAATCCAAAATGGTGTCAGCAAGGGATCTGAAGGCTGAGCTGTACCGTATGACGGTGGCTGCTACAAACATCTGAAGGATGCGACCCACGTGGTCCTGACTGCTTTCTTGCAAAGATGCACCCAAAGCGCTCAAGTTGCCAAGAACAGAAAATAATGCCATAAAAGCTGCACGTGCCACTTTGCTGCGAGAGGCATTTTCACTGATTTTTGGTGTTTTTGATCGTTCCGAAGGCATTACAGGGGGCTTAAGCTTAGAGGAACCCGGCAGGGCAGGGCCTAAACCCGAACAGGATGCATCCGAAATCGCCGAATCTCCGAAGCTTGTACGCCGCACCGATGGTGCAGGCAACGGGTCCCCGGCCGGGAACACCTCGAAGGAAACGCACGATGAAGGCTCAGGTGCCACGTCCAAACCTTTCGCGGGAATGGCAGGAGCGGGCCTACTGGGTCTAGGGTTTGGAACTTGAAGCGGCAAGGATCTGGGGATTGGTTCGCTGGCACTGGCGGAGGCTTCATGTGACCTATCGTCTGGGTCTAGAGGCCGCTTCATGACTATCACAAACCTGCCACCTCCAGAAGTGCCACCCGGCGTGCCAGAGATGCGTAGTTACGGCGGCTCTCTTGAAGTGCACGCAAAAGCAGAATGTTAGCTCTACGCAATTGCCGGATGCTGCGCTGCAAGCCAATGATAAGAGCAATGTCGCGCTCCACAGCTTGCAAGCGATTCTCAAGCCTATTCAACCACGTTTGAACCTGCGAAAGATGATTAGAGTGCCCGGCTCGGCTGACTTCAAGTGCAAATACACGCTCTTCAAGATCAAAGATATCTGGTGTCTGAGTGGAAGCTTCCATGCACCCCCACTGAAAGGAGCAGGCACGAGGACTTCTGAGAGCCCGGAGCGATCAAGCCATTCACCCCACTTGTGGGGGTGCCCGCTCCCCCCCCCGGCACGAGGAGTCCTACAGAGCGAAGCAAGCGTGATGTACTTTATTACTGTCCTGTTGCCATGTGACATGAAACAAAGAAAGTTCGCAACTGTTGCAAACCTATTGCCGTGGAACGCATATGTCGGCTAAACGCAATTCGAAAAAACCGCCAGCAAGCACAACTAATACTGTGAGCCAAAATGTTCGCACACATAAACTATAAAACAGATGTGAACAAGTACACAAATCTCCTCCTGGTTCAAGCACAGTAGCTGCTGGCGATGGTGTACGGAGCAGGTCAACGGCTTGCAGACGGATGTGAGTCATGGCTTCCTCCAGTGGGGTACGTGCGGGGTCTAAAGCACCCCTAATCTTAGCCCGGAGCTCTTCAGCCTCCGGAGCACTCAGGCTGGCTTGCACAATACGACGCCAGTCCACGTCATCTGTGGCGGCCAGTGGCTCCGACGTTGTCGGGAGGGAATGAATAAGGTCAACTACTACAGGGTCATGATCAGTGCGCCTTTGCCACTGCCATACCACTGCTGCATTGAGCACTCTGCTGGTACCCCCGATGCCGCCCATAAACCAAATTTGGTCAAGGCGGCTAGCGGTGCCCTGTTGGGTGAAAAAGGTAAAGGCCTTCAATCGCGGGTGAAGTTCCCTGAAGCAGTCATGTAATCCCATCTCCTGTAACTGCACCGCTAGGCATGCGGGTCTAGCAGCAGCTTGACCCTCCCAGCAGTCCAGATCCGGGGAGGTGTAGCTGTTAGTGTCCCCTACTACCAGCAGAGAAGCGTCAGCAAGTAGTGCTTGAGCTTTTTGATGGGAGACAAACTCGACCAGATTCCGCTCCTGCGAAAGTGCTCTAGCGTCCTGGTCGAAGGAGGCGGAGGTGGCGCCTGTCGGGCCGTATACGCCCACCACACGGATGGCCGCTCCGTCGTCCTTGAGGAGTGTGCCGGCTAGTGCGCGTCCATTTGAGTCTCTGGTGACTTGCTGCCAACTTCCTATGTAGTCCTTGCGGACTGCAATGATTATTCCCGACGACAATGGTGAAGGGGCCTGCGACGAGGTGGGAGTCGTAGGGTCCACATTGTGACTAATCCCGAAGTATCCCCCCTTTTCCATACCAGTGACAGCCTGCGCGTGCCCTCTAGAGGTACTGATGCGCGTTTCAGCCAACACAAAAATGTCCGCGCCCAGTTCCGCAGCGCAATCTGCCCACCATTTGCCCCATGCTTCGCGATCTGATCCACCCACGCCGCCCGCTTGGAGCGAGACGACACGGATTACCTGAGTACCACGCCAGCTGACATCGTGTCCCAGGCACTGCCCGATAAAGTGTAGGTTGCGCCTCCGTCCGACGGGCACCATCGCCCGATCAGCTGGGGGGATGGGGTCCTCGTCGTCGCTCCCGCCATCGTGGGCGGCGAGGATAGGTGGCTCCATCCGCCGCTGACTGCAGAGCTACCCTAGGATACAGTTACAGTGCAGCATTTAGAAGTACCTGCGCCTAGGACTTCGAACAGGCGCTGCGAGAGGAAGGTAGTCCTACGCCCGCGCGGGTACCGAGGAAGAGGCGGGCCAGGAACGGGGGGAACATGTGCTGTCCTCCCGAGAGAAGATGACCTGTCGAGTCCTAGGGAGTTGACGCCGTTTCCGACATCTTCCAACCAAAAGAAGGTCAGTAAAGAGCTACAGTACAAGAAGTGTCACGGCTAGAGATGAGTGAGCTGCGGAGTGCAAGGCTGCAAGACGCTTGAGGGTCCCACAGCAAATACCATGTGAGGAGCAGCCCATGAGTCACCAGTCAAGCGACTGCAGTTGATCCCGGACTAGCTCTATCATGCAAGGTCCCAGCAGACGCCCCAGAGACTACGTGCAGAAAACTTTTCCGACCATCTGGTCAAGCAGGTTGCACAGTCATAAGCAAAATCAAAAGTACCAGCATCCCAACACGTTGCGTGACAGCATGGCTGGCATGTCCATCCAATCTACATGGCCTATCAGCTGTCCAAACCGATCAGATTCACATTGCAGCTCGGGCAGCGATGACCATGAATGGGGGAGGAGAACCATCTGGTCGCACACTCCTTGTGAAAGTAGTGCATGCACACCAACCGGACGAGCGTCTCACCCACTTATGGCTGCAGACAGCTAGTGCAGTTGGTGACTGGCAGGAGGCAGTTGGCGCCAAGCACGTACTCCACACCCCTGAGTTGGGGAGTGAGCTCACAGTCCACAGGAGGGGTCATCGGAGCAATACCCGCCGAGTCGGCTGAGGGGGGGCAGGCAATCGGAGAGGGACGGGGTGGGGCCAAGCCATCCACAGCCTCAGCGTACTGGTCATGACCAGACGGGGGCAGCACGGGATGGGGGACGGGCTCCTCGCGGCTCACAATGGGCACGCGGGGCGGTGGAGATCCGACATGATCAGGTAGCGGGGAAGGCAGATGCAAAACTTCGGGAGGTGGGGTGGGGCCACTCGCCGACTCTTCGTTGAAAACGGTAGGTGGAACACGGGGAGATACCACCGAGTCCGGGGCTAGCGTTGTGTCGCCCGTTGTGTCCTCATCGTGTGGAGCAAGAGTGGATGGCGGCATACCGTCCTGTTCAAACGTGTTGTTGTTTGGCTCTGGTGCGGTCTGGGCAGGTGCTGTATGGCCTTCAGATGCCGGCCTTAGTGTTGCATGGGGTGGTGATGCCGGGGCGGCAGTGACGGGCTGCCCAATCGTGTTCGGGTCTTCAGGGGTGTCACCAGACTCGTTCACCTCTGTGAGCCGTCTGGCTGCCTGCTGTCCGATCTCGGTGCCAGCGGCCTCCACATTGATGTCCCCGATTGCGGTGGCCATCCTGCCACCGTTGCCAGACCGGAGCTCCCGTAGTATGCGAACCAATGTCGTAATGTCCTGGAAGGCTTGATGCCCCACAAGCACACATGCAGACGAACCTTCCCCTACTTGCGTAACATGAAATACCGGCTGGAGGCAAGCGAAAGTAGGTGAAAGTAGGGCCATTGCTGCATGGACTGCTTGCCCGCCTGTGGCGGTGGTGGCTCCTCGGACTCCACGGATGCAAAGCCCGATGGGGGGGGAGGGACCAGTGGTCGGATTACCTGTCATGGTTTGGTCGGTCCCAGAGCGCCTCGAGTGATTAGCCACACGACCCTGTGACCCTGTGAACGTACTGGGTCTCCCGTTACGAGGTGCGGTGGGAGGGCGTGGACGAGGGGCAGCAGCGCGAGTAGGGTGACTGGCTGGGGGCTGCGGGCGGCCTCTTGCACCGCGGCGCTTGGGGGAGGCACGACGAAGGGGGGAGGGGGAGCGATGGCGACGTGGCGGCTGCTGCCTCATCCTCCCACGGTTGAGTGCCACCGCTGCTCGATGTGCCTGCGGCGACCGGGAACGAGAGCGGGTCACTCGAGATTCCAGCATGCCGCCATTTGGACGGCGCGGGATTGGGGGGCGGGAGTGCCGGGGAGGTGCCGGAACTAAGTATTGTAGACTCTGCTCGGCGAAGGTGAGCCCCAGACGAAGGGCTCGAATGGCGTCTCCATGTAGAGCCGGATCCATTGCAAGAGCGCCGAGGTCAGCGTCGAGAGTCCTAGCGAGTCGAGCCGTGCTTTCTCAAATGGCTGCCCACTCGAAGCGATTCAGGCGGTAGTAGCACAGGACCGGGTGAGGAAACCTACAGTCAGTGTGCACAGTAGCAACAAGTATCTGAAGCACGAGAGTGCCAACTACCAGTTGACATGACTAACGAAAGAGTTACAAGAGCCCTCCGCCCCTTCCGCATCAACCTGGAGCCCAATCGCGAGGTCAATACAGGAGGTGTGCCAGATCAGGGTAGGTGTCCTTCCCAAATTTCGTAGGGTCCTGTAACTGCACACAGTGAATACAAAGTATATCGTGAGTCAGGGAGCACCAAAGCTACAACCTGCTCCCCAGGGTGTCGTCCTGTGCGAAAGTGCATCCTTGCATAGTAAGTCTGGCAGTCGTCGAGTGGGGAGCACCAATGCTGCGACCCGTGAGTGGGGGAGGGGAGCACCAATGCTACGACCCAAAGGGGGGGGGAGTATGATTGTAAAGCGGGGAGCCCCATTGCTACGACCCGGTTGTATGTGAATCAGGGAGCACCATCGCTGCCACCTGAGTTGGAGATGGGGCGAGTGGAGTACTGTGCCTCAATCTCGCGTGAGCAATGCCAACTTGCTGGGGTCCATTGTGCAATCAACGACACCGTCACTGTAACCACGGCGAGTGTCTACGCGCAGTCTCGGCACGATGAGTCTGGGATCTGTCGTACCTGTTGTCAAGTCTTGCCATCGCCAATTGCAGACGGTTTGATCTTCTTTCCGCTGAACAGAGCAGACTGATTTAGGATGCTCGGCAATCTAGTCGCTACGGAGCCTCTGATCAATCGAACTGCAAGATCCGACTTTCTTCCGTCGAGCTCACTGGCTGATGCTGGATGCGGCATGGTCTGCATGTTATGCGTCATCGGTAGCTCTTTTCCCCCGGCAGACACGTGGCACAGGGGGGACTGCAAGGCATCCAGTCTCCCATACTGCTCCCTATGCGCACATTCTCTGCAGCAGACGTTGCCAGATACTAAAAAGTCCTCAGGAATGGAACATGTCGGCTACCTCTCTACCATGACTGTCTTATGACGTGTGCGAGGCATGCGAATACACCAATAACCTGGGCTACCGAAAGTCCACAACTGTTCTGCAAGGAGAAGCTACCAGCACTTCTTAACACACGCAGTCACGCAGTAGAGGACCAACACACGATACGGTCCTCTGGTCCTTGCTCACTGCAGGTACTAGTGGACTGAAATGACAAGCATCAGGGCCAAAGTCTGAAGAAACACTCCAAGGAGAAACCTATGCGTGCAAATCATGATCAGGAGCATTCCAACAAAGGCTGACATGTTTGGACATGCTACAGTAGCTGAACTGGCTACTGTTGCTCAACCTGTGATACCATGCGCAGGCGTCGCCACAACTCCGCATCTTCTCAATACGCACGGCCAAAACATCACCGCGTCACAAATAAACATCACACACAGCGATTCATGGGCTACAATTTCATACAGTTGGCAAAAAGAGAGCTTACGCAGAGATAGGCAATCGCCCCGAAAAGGAGATCGGTCGGCATAGCGCTTCTGACACATATTCTCCTCCCCTGCAGCTGACAGCGGCAACTGGCTCCAAGCAATAACAGTGGCATCAAGCTCACTTACGACTGATCCGAGGCGAGTCCGTCTTACCTATCCAGAAATCCCAAACGCACAAGGCCTGCCAATATAGTAGTCACCTGTAAGCATAATGGCTTAATGGAATAACAGTACCAACCCAAGCGGGGTGCGTAAATGAGTGTCTCGAAACGGCAGATCAGCAGCCTCTCTCAGATGCCATGGCACACATGCGGATACAAGGCTGCGTGTTCCAGTCAAGTCAGCAATGTTGGGGGGTCGTGCAACCAGTAGGTACCCCGCAACTCCGTGCAACCCCCCGTTTCTTGTACGATGGAATACAGCAGCATGTTGACATGCGTTTTGAGCCCACGAGGGGGCAGCGGTACTGTCGCCCTAGCAGGCGGACTGGGGAGGGTGGGGTGTGCTCTTCGGGAAAGAATCCCTTAGTACCGCCCCCGGGGTCCACACCCACCCTGGAAACCCCTCAGCCCGATCAACTGCTAGGCCCGGGGGTTCAAGCTTCTTTAACTTCCCTTCAGCCTTCTGTTCTGCCTTCTTAAAGCCTTATATTAAAGTTCTGTAAAGTCTCAAAAAAAAACTTACTGATAAAAAAAGAAAAAATGGAGTCACAAAAAATGTTATTTTTTGCACACAAAATTAATTTTTATAATGTAAGAACCAGAAACTTAAATTTAACGCAATTACAACACAAAACAAGGTAGATCGCCTTGTGCTGCTAATAACGCCCGTTCTCTTGCTGATGGACGGTACGGCGGTTTGGACGGCCTCTAAGATCAAGACTTATCCCCCATTGATTGTAGTTAATGAATCAACCTGTTGGTTTGGTTGTTGTTTGTGAAACCAGTTGCTGAACGGAAGTGAAGTTTTTCGTACGTGTTGTTGTTGATTAAACTTCGGTAAAAGATTGTACAGTGCGCTCCGTTCCAGTTCTATTGGTCTTTAATGGGGAAACACATGTATTTTAACCCGTCTGCAACTGTGTGTCAAGGCCAAACCAACTCCGCAAAATCGCTGGTGGCCGCTGTACCGGAAGCGTTCTACCTTTATTCCATCGCTTTGGATACTGTTCACACAACTTTGCTGGAGAGATTGCAGCGTTTCGTGTTGCCACTACGGGCCTGCCACGTGCCCTCTACGATCCGACGGAAAAGGTTTTTCCGGACCCGGAGGCAGACGTTCCTGCAAAGAAGGATTCTGCGTTAACCGCAAAGTTGCGCAGTCAAAGTTGCGCTGCCTTCCTTCCTGCCGCCCCTAGAGCGACATGGAGCCAACGTGTGGCGGCCCTGTTGAATGCTGTGGAGACTCCGCCTGGTCGCGTAGTGCTTAGAGTGACAGCCATTGCAAGCCGGCGGTGTGTACCGGCAGAAGACGAGGACGACTTCGAGCAGCATAATACTCTCCGGCGCTACCAAGCCCGGGGCAGGCAACAGCGGCCTGTCAAGGGAGTGGACTGCGCTAGTGCGCTACAACATTTGCTACCCAACCCGACCGATTGCCTTACCTTGCTTTCCCTTCCCCTGTCCCTGCCTGCGTGTAAAGTCAAACTCAGCCCGCAGAATTTTGGGGTGAAGGTGGTTGATTTCGCTGACCGGGCACTTATGTTACGGCGCTGTACTGATGGCGCATTTCGCGTCTGTTTGACACCCATGCTGGCAGTGTCCGTCGCACTAGCACAGTTTTGCGACCCAGTTCTGCGCCTACCTAAAGGACGAGTTTTCGACCTGTCCTGGTATGAGCTCGCTCCAGGCAGCCGACCTGGCACCGGATCCAGCCATCGGCGCACTACTGGGGATGGCAGCACGAGCGTTGACTCGAACCAAGGGACCCCTCTGCTTCACTGTGGTGTGTTATTGCCAGTGCAGCTGCTGCTTTATTTCACACGGGCATTAGCAGACGACCCTGCGGCTGAACCATTTTTGCAGCTCACCAACGTTACTCCGACTGTGACGGTCAACACATTGAGGTGCGAGTCAGATGCGAGGTGCCGGCTACCCTGGTGGGCCAGCCCCAAATTGCCATTGCTGACCGGCTGATGGCGTGTTTCGAGAGTGGACTCCTTCCAGCCAGACGCGGCGAGTTCGATCCGCGAATGTTTACGTATCCGGGAGCGTATCGGGGCACTTTTCGTCTGCTCTTTCCGCTTGCGGACATCCCACTGGGTCTGCAAGCACAGCCCTCTCTTTCGATTCAGGCCGCGGGCCTGTTGAATAGTGCACTGTGGCGCCTTCGTGCTGCTGCTACCTCTGATGGATGGGATCTCCGGGCGGTAGTGGCTTATTGGATACGTGGGCCACAAAAGAAAGACTTTTACTTTCCAGTTCGCTTATGGCGCTTCGCGCATTTCGACGCACTTGACTCGAAAGCGATGGTCCTCCTCCGGTTGGCCGCCCGGGAGGAGAATCAGGCGCAGGAGCTGCCGGGTGGCGAGCGTCCCTCAGGTTGGGGCATCCCTGGGCGCAGGTAAGCTGGAGGGCAGCGGCAGATGAGTTCCTCAGGGAAGGGGGCCTTGGACCTGGCCTCCAATTCCCATGTATATCCACCGATCTAATGCCACATCTGCATGCCCCCGACCCGGATACTCACCAATACACATTCAAAAGGGTGACGGAAATCTATCGTGAGGGAAATTACC